GTGTGTGTGTGTGTGTCGTGTGTGCGTGTGTGGTGTGCGGGTGTGCGGCGTGGGTGTGCGGTGTGCGGGTGTCGGGTGGGTGTGTGTGTGTGTGTGTGTGTGGTGGGTGTGTGTGGGTGTGTGTGTGTGTGTGTGTGTGTGTGTGTGTGTGTGTGTGTGTGGTGTGTGTGGTGTGTGTGTGTGTGTGTGTGTGTGTGTGTTGTGTGTGTGTGGTGTGTGTGTGTGTGTGGTGTGTGCGGGGTGCGGTGTGTGTGTGTGTGTGTGGGGCGTGTGTGCGTGTGTGGGTGTGTGCGGTGGCGGTGTGGTGGGGTGTGGGTGTGTGGGGTGTGGGTGCGTGGGTGTGTGTGGTTGGTGTGTGTTGTGTGTGCGTGTGGTGGTGTTGGCAGGGATTCAGGGTTGCGGGCTGGAAGCCTTTGGCTCCGTTTTGGTGATCGGGCGGGGGCTTGCTAAACACGTTTCATAGAAGCACCATGGAAGTTGATGCCAGGTCACCACGTCGCCTACCACGTCGACTCCCACCACGTCGACTACCACGTCGGAATACAACAACAACAACTGCACCTACACTACCACCTCCAAACAGGCCACCACAACAACCAGCGCGTCCACCCAAGTGCCACACCACAACGACTACAACCACCCCCACCACCACCCCACCACCACGACAACCACCACCCACAACCACCACAACCCCACCACGCCCACCCCACAACCACCACCACCACAACCACCACTACGACGCAAGCTGGCCCACAACAGTCCAGACGTACTCACGACAACGACCATGGGCAAGCTGGACCTGTTTGATACATGTTCAACGGTCCGCGCATGTGCAATATAGTTGGGTCGATAAGGATGGTTCAAGACACCTAGAAACCCTAAGCCCTCATCCCTAAACAAAACACCCCAAATCTGCTGGTTGCAACGTTGTGTCGCTTCCTGATGTTGCTGCTTTTGGGGGATATCGCCTCGTAAAGAGCCATCGCCGCCCTCTTAAGCCATGTCATTACTCTTAAAACCTGCTGGCTCTTAGTAGGGAAGAGGAATTTAGGTACCTTATTATATCCTTCAATTATATACCCCGTTGAGGGATTATTCGGGGTACTTCATTCCGTCATTCCGTACTAAGAACCAGTAAGTAGACAGTGGACTGCGATGCATCTTTTTTTCCGTTTTGCAGGGTCTTGAGAGGCTAGGGTTTGCGAGAGGGGATGCAGCTTGAGTCCTCGAAAGCCATCAATGTCATGTGTCCGCAGGCATACAACAGCCCCAGCAACGACCACGACTCCCAAAGGGGGGGGGGGAGGAAGCCGTACTATCAGCAGCTTGGTCCAAGTGGCATGCCTAGAACCCTCAAGTGCGAGCGTCACTGCCTTGCAGTGCTCACGCTTTCGGGCATGTCTGTTGGTCTGGCAATCGTGCAATGCCTTCCCGAAATCAAGCGAGAATGCTCCTGGGACCCTGAAGCCAAAACCCTCAACCCTGGACCCCCAAGTCCCCAAGATATGCCGACACCAAGCACCCTGACTCTACACCGCTACATCATGCCACGCGCAGGCAGTGTGTTTTTTGGACATCGGAGGCCAAAGCAAAGCAAGCCCCAAAACTGAAATCTGACTCCCAAAGCTTGCCAATATGCCCTTCCAGTTCAGGCTAGGTGTTGTCTTGTGCCTGGGTTGGTAGGCGCTCCTACCTATACTATGCCCACGCAGGAAATCTCCTGCTCTGAAGGTACTACCGCCGGCACCACCGGCACCGTCGCTGCGCCAGCTGGTGCCCTTAGGGTCTAGGGTTTAGGGCCGACAGCAACATGCGGTTTTGTAGTTTCGGGCATAATTAGCGCTGTTCGACCTTTTTGTGCTAACAGGGCGCCGTCGGGAAGGGCACGTAGGTCCGTCCCTCTTTAACCCTTTCTCCATCCTTTTCCTTGAACCTTCCCCCCCCCCCCCCCCCCCCCCCCAACCGCCCCCACCCCCACCCCCCCACCCAACCCCCCCCCCCACGCCCCCCCTCCCCCACCCCCCCCGCCCCCACCCCCCCCCCCCCCCAAACCCCCCCCCCCGCCCCCCCGCCCCCCGCAGCCGCCTTTGAATTGCACGGCTCCGAGTCTCGGAGCTAGGCAAGCCTTGGGATATTTTATGCTAGACATTAATGGTGGTTGCAGGGACTGAGGGCCAAGACCGGCTCTCCAAGCCCAGGTACCGGGGCCAAGACATTAACGAGGGTTTGCGTCGTAGACCTCAACGAGTAGCTCAATCCTGCATAATATAGGGGTCAGAAACGGTTCGAATAACATTCCTATGGTCCCGTTGTAATTATAGCACAATGACCCCCCCCAAACCCGATTCCAATCAGTCAGGCCCCTATATTAGCTGGGCAAGCTTGACTTTTAAGGGAACATCCCGTGACATCCTTGCACAGATTCCAGATTCTCACGTCAGTCCTGGGATCATTGTCTGACTTCAACCCCTAAACAGTCTTGGGATTGTTGCCCTAAACCGCAAACCCTAAACCCAGAAACGCCAAAGCCCAAGCCCTGAACCCTGAACCCTAAAGGGTTAGGCTGCAAGGGGCGCCCTGCACTTAGAGACCATACCCCCCTAACATCATGGCCTCTCATGGCCTCTCTTAGGTGCAAGTGGAAACTGCCCTATACTTGGGAGTCGACGCCTCTGTGCAGGGGCTGCAAACTGAGAGCCGGTATCTTGGCCTTCGCCAGCCTCCACGAACCCCGAAACCTTCCGCCTACTGAACCCTAAGCCGTTTCTTTTTTTCTTGTTGGGTATAAACCGCTTATTATACCCCCTTATATGCCTCTGCCGTTAACCCCCATTTAACCCCCCCTTGTACTGGTGTGGGTTTGGGCTCCGGGTTCTTCGCTGCTCGCACCCGTGTGACGGCCCAAGGTATGAAGCTTCAGGGCTCGCCCAACGCGACACAGGCCGTCGAAGGCGCCAGCGCCTGGGCGTTTTTATGATGCAAAGGCTCCATGCAGGCGCCCTCAACCCTAAACCCTAAACCCTAAACCCTGAACCCTAAACCCTAAACCCTAAACCCTAAACCCTAAACCCTTAAAAAAAAACCGTGGATGTCTTCTTCATCCTGAGCCCTTAATGGTTTACCCATGGTCGTATACAGTGCTGTTGCTGCGCAAATGCTTGGCGCCTCAGAAAAGAAATGGTCCCAAACAGTAGAATTCCTCATTGCCAGGACCGCTCTTCTAAATCCCACAGAAGGCCCCGAAGAAGGAGCCCACCTATTGGAAGCCCTCCCGCGAGGTCAGATGGTTGAAGCATCGGGAGCTCAAGAGAAGGCACAGGATCCCGAGCGACATCGGCAAGTTGAGACCTGAAGGACCAGCAGCAGGTCGGCCAGCTCCCCGCCCCACCACCTGCCTCGCCTCTGTCCAGGAAAGAAAGCCGCAGCCCCTTCTTCCTCGTTAAGGCGAGGAGGATATTTAAAGACAAGAGCCTCAGCAAAACGCTGCAGCAGATGCTTCCTGGCCTGGAAGGGACGGAGAACAAGGGGGGGAGGGGTTTGCTTCAAAGCCTTCCGAGGGCATTTTGGCGCTTTCGTGCTTTACGGCAAGTGTGGTGAAGCGTATTGGCGTATTGTTTTACTCCGGTGACTACCCCGACTACAGAGACCCCAACCCCTTCATTCCGATACTCCGATCCCGGAAGCACGAGGCTGCTGCTGAAGAGAGCTCCTTGCAACTCTGGAAGGCTCACTCCGAACAGGGGGATAAGGCGGGTTGTCTAGGTGTTGTTGTTGAAGAGGGCTGAGAGGATGTTGTGCAGGGCATTGCTCTGATGCGCATATGCTGCAGCAAGTGAAAGTTTGTTAAAGTGTCCTTGTTGTGGAGAATAGAGGACTTGCTCCATCCACAGTGGGTGTTAGGTTGCCTGGGGCTGACTTCAACAGGAGAAGGAAGCTATATGATATATGATCTTCGAATCCAAAACGATTTCGGCTTTGAAGGTCTGCCGGTGAACTCAAGATGCTCAATGCCTTCGTACAGAAAGAAAAAGAGGGTAAATTCCGACACCTAAGAAGTAAAAGAAGGCTTTTGCGCGTTTTCGGAGCGCTTGGTGGAGCACAGCCCCTCCAACATCCATACAAGACCTTGAGGCTGAGCCCTGCCGGGACGTGGTCCTTGCGAAGCATGGCCCCGAAGCTGCGTCTGTGACGTCTTGAGCTTTCCGGACTGGCAAAGCCAGCCAACAACTTTTGTTTTTTTTGCGCAAGTGTTTAAGTACCCGACCATCCACGTTACCCTGGCCCGTCTGACAAGGACCTTGAACCTTATGCAGCGCGTGATCACACATCGCGCTGTAGTTTTCCAAGGCTTCTTGCTTTGCCAAGGGGCGGAATCTGGTCGTTCCTCACTTTCAGCCAGAGCTCGCCTGCGATCTGGGAAAGGGAAAGGTGGTTTTGGCCGTGTTGTCGAGGTTGATTCGAGGAGTTGTTGCCAACGTCAGTCTTCCCAGTCCTGCTCCTCCTGCCGCCTCTGCTGCCACGACTTGTAGGGATACATAGTAGCAGCATGACGACGACGACTTCTACAACTTCTACAACTACAACTACACCTGCGACAACTACGACAACTACGACAACTACTGCTGCATTTCTTGGAATGTTAATATGATATTGGTTCAATGCGAACAACTTTATGACTCTATAGCAAATGGGAGACGCAAAAGACTCATACTCAGAAATCTGGATGGGTCCCGCTGAAGTTGCGGCTCTCTGTAACATATGCATCAGCATGTATGTAGGCCACAAGCGTGGAAGATGTAACACATGCATCTCCTGTCTTTTCCCAAGGTTTCGAGACTGTTATGCGAAAGTGATGTGCGACATTGCAATGGCAGGTTCACCATTGCTGCAGTAGTCTTTGCAAGGCGGCAAGAGTATCAGGGGCATATTCCAGCTGCTACACTGAAGACACTGAAGATGTGTAAGCGAAAGTCTCTCTCTCTCTCTCTCACTCTCTCGTCATGGATCCAACTCCAGAATGGCATCTGGCGCTGTCTGCGGAAGATCTGGATCAGTGGGCTGTGGGGCAACATCGGAAGGCCTGTTCAATGCACGCAGTCATGTCCAGGAATCCTTCATCCAAGCTGTGTTGGCAAAGACTGAAGGTCGTAAAACTTGGTTCGCCGGCGCGGCACATCCTCCTCATTTCCCACAAACCGAAGAAAGCTGTGTGGCTGGAGTCTGATTATACAGGAAGCACCATTGAATTTTCATATTCGCATCGTGGTGTCACAGTGCAGCTACCGCAGCAGCAGCTGCACAGTGTTGTCAACGCCTGTCTACTGTTATTGACTTGCTCGTTTGGTGTTGGGAATGTTTCATGAGAAGTACGATCAGTTCGATCTGCTTTGTACAAAACTGTGACCAGCTGTATATTGAGGTTATTTACATGTGCACACAGTGTGATCCAAAAACGATCCAAATTAGGTGTGTTGAGTAAAGCGGCCATGTGGATTGTTAGAAGCTCAATGTGGCTCTCCTTTTGGACATGGTGTTTCATTTGCAAGTATTGCCAGTATTTCTGTCGCAAGTATGCCCATCCAAGTAAGGTATGCACTGGATGCACGCTGCGGACACAGAGGGGGTCCACTAGAGTCAGGCAGGAGCGGCGCATCTCATTTTCTCGTTCTTCTTGCCGTGCAGCGTTCAGAACTTCCCACGGCAAGATCTTGGCGACAGTGCAGGCGACTTGGAAGAACTACCTGAGCTTGGCTTGTGTGTGAGATGTCCGTGGCATGGACGTCAATATCAAGTGGAAAGCGGGGATGAGGCCTGTGGAATGATGGAAACAGCTCTTCTTTGAGCAGATGCATGCGTAGGCATGTTGGTCGGGGTTGACAGGGTTCTGTCATTCAGCAAGGTCCAAAAGGTGCTCAAAACACGCACGGCAAGCAGGTGGTGGCAGGTGCGCTACGCCCTTCGCAGCGCACGTTTGCCACTGAGTTTTGGCTGCCATGGGAAGCGACGGCTCTAAACACAATCTCGTAAGGTGGAATCCCACACAGTGAATTTGGCACGAGCATCCACATGGAGACCTGCCAATCTCACAACCTGCCATGTGGTGTTTTGATTTCATTGCAAGGAGTTGCGCCATGGCGCGCTCTACGTGCGGATAGACCTGACAGGCGGTCCACTTCCTTCGGCTCCTGTGTTGCAAGGGGGTGTATCGCAATGGTTTCGAGCTTCGGAGCCTTTCGGTTTTTGTGTTTGTGACCCGGTCAGGATGGTTTTGCTGCAGCGGATGTCCATCTACCGGTACATGCAGCGTCCTCCCTCAGCGTTTGGCTCGGCCCTGATCATCAGGAGTGGTGGAAATGGGATTGCTTGGGAGGTTATGAGGTGCCCCCACAGTGCTTGCAAGGTTTTCGTTTCGTTGTTCTGGCTGTATGTGTGGCATGATGTGCAGGACGTGGGTGAGGTGGCTGCTGCACCATCCGCGACTACTGGCCAGGGCTCGGACTACGTCTCCGATGAGTTCTTGTTCTGAGGTCAGAAGCACTGCGCCGGGTAACGTCGGTTACTTGGACTGAAAGGTCCCCTCCGACACAGAAGCTCGGTTGCTGAAGCACGTCGACAAGCCCGACTCCCGCAGTTGTGCCACTGCTGTCTGCAAAGTTCAAAGAAGTGCGTGGCCTCGAGTAGCCTGTCCCAGCGTGGTGATGTAGCTGATATGGATGGAGACCGGAATAGATGCGTGTTGCTCGCTGTTGTTCCGGGGAAGACACCAACGTATTGCCCCAGCAGGCGCATTTGCCTTGATGGAAGCGTCTGGCGGGACTGGAGTAAAACAGAGCTGCATGGACCTGCAATTTGGAGCAATGCTCGTGGGCGCTCATGTGCTTCCAAGAAGGTTTGCTCGCATGATTGGAGTTGTGATGCAGCGACGTTGGACTTCTGCAGCGTTTTGTGCTCCTTAGCCGGCGGCTCCATACAAGAGCCTCTCTGCCACAGCAGCTTCTCTGCACTTGTTGTTCCGGTGGCATGCCAGAGGCGGAAATGCCACATGCACAATCAACCAGGGACGTTTCAAGCCTTAAGGAAACAAGACTTCAAGATGAAGAAGGGACGCGCAGCCAAGCAGTGCAAGATGAGGAGATTCGTGCAGGGTGTGGGGGTTGCAAAGCCAGGTGTTGCAGTGTAGCCCGACTTGTCCCACTGCAGCAAAGCAGGATGGCGCAGGGTTGCAGTGTGGCCACCCTCCTGAACTGTGCGGACAACAGCGGCGCCAAGAACCTCTACATCATTGCGGCCTTGTCCTCAGCCTGTCCTCAGAACGGTTCTTGTTTGCAAGTCGCATCGTGCCGAAGTTGGTTGGAGAGCATCATCTTTCACCCAGCTTGGATAGCAATGAGGAGTAGAAGTGGCTGTGGCCAGTGTGCCATCCCTTCTGTTGGACACCCAACGTGCAGAGCCTACAGCAGCCACTTAGACCAAGGTCTTTGGAATTGGTGGCCGCTTGAACAAGTTGCCGAACTGCTCCCCCGGTGATCTGGTGCCCGGCAGCTGAAATTGGGTAGTTGGGGATGGTAGGGTAGTTGGGGATAGTAGGATGAGGATAGGGTAGTTGGGGATGGTAGGATGAGGAGGCAGAAAGGTATGTACCTGTATTTACCCACGAGTCGCACTGGGATGGTTGTGATGCGTGGAGGTGCTGTGCAGTGTGAAGAAGGGCAAGCCAGAGCTCCGCAAGAAGGTGCTCAAGGGGGCCAGGAGCTCGGCACGTGTGCAGCAACAGCCTGCATTGCACTTTAGCTTGTAGTTTGTTGAAGCCAGCGTGGCTGACTTGTGGGGAGTGTCGTGAGGTTGTCATCCGCCAGAAGAAAGCCTGGAGACGCCGCGAAGGCGTCTACGTCTACTTCGAGGACTGGCGCACATTGGCCGGTCGCGCATGCCAACTTGCCGAAGAACGGGTCTTGCAACGTTGCTGGCTTTCTCTGGCATGAAGTTCTGTTGCGTGACTGTGGAGGACAACGCGGGCGTCATCGTGAACGACAAGGGCGAGATGAAGGGCTCTGCCATCCAGGTTCCAAGTGCACCAAGCTGCATCTGCAGCCTGCCAGGGTGCCGGGTTCAAGGGTTGAGCGGTGTACGTTTTGGATAGCTGGGGCTGACTGAGAGACTCCTGCGTTATGTCAGGGATAGATTTTTGCGTGCAGCCTCGGTGCTGCTAGGATTTCCCAGGTAGTAGTCAATGGACGTCAGTGCTTGCAATGTCGGCGCCGAACTGATTGGCCTTTCGGATGCCAGGGCCCCGTGGCCAAGGAGTGCGCAGAGCTTTGGCCCAAGATCGCCTCGTGCGTGGGAAGCTCAGGCGGAGCTGGTGGTGGCAAAGCCTGGATCCGCAAGTGTACCCTTCAATGCCAAGTGCAAGCGACAGCAGCATGTGCGGCAGAGACGGTTATCGCAGGAGTTGCACACCATAATGTGTCATTGATGTGGTGTCCTGGTAGAGCCTAGTAGTATCAGTTGTTGAAGCAGTCAACGCCTAATTTTCGAATACTTGCAGCACGTCGATCATGAAGCCTTCTGATTGGCTTGAATGTCCCAGGCGCCCGCCATCTGCTGATCAGCCGGCCAAAGGAGCACAAACACAGGGCAAGAAGAGCGCATTCAGATTTGTCACCCTGATGTTTCGCATGTTGCCTTGGCAGCAGTTCGCAGTTCGCATGTCTGCAGCTTTGGCTCGGTGTCTAGTTGCGCCAGTCAAGTCAAGCTTTTGATAGAATTCGCCACAGCCTTAGCTTGAGCAGAAAGTCGGAGAAGCCTGTCTGGGGAGTATCATCAACATCCTCTCATGGCCTGAGGCCGGCTTCAGGTGCTGCACATCTCAGCGCCCTGGCTCATGGGACCTATTTGTGTCTTGCTTACGACGATGAAGCACGGCAGGCAGTCCTGTGCATGACCTGCAGCCCCACGGCGTTTGCATCGTTTTGCATCATGTGTGGGATGCGGGTGAGGTGAAGGCTCGGACTTCGTCTCCGATGAGTTCTTGTTCTGAAGTCAACAGCACTGCGCCGGGTACGCCAGATGTCGGCTGACCCTCAGTTTGTATATTATGATGCCAGACAGGAGCTCGGTTGCTGAAGCACGTAGACAAGCGCGACTCCTGCGGTTGCCACTGTTGCGCGCAAAGTTCAATGAAGTCCGTCGCATCGAGTAGCATGTCGCAGCACGGCGATGGGGATGGAGGCCGGCATAGATGCGTGTTGCTCGCTGTTGTTCCGGGCAAGACCCGAACGTATTGCCCCAGCTTTTGCCTTGATAGAAGCGTCTGGCGGGACTGGAGTAAAACAGAGCTGCATGGACCTGCAATTTGCAGTAGTGCTCGTGGGCGCTCATGTGCTTCCAAGAACGTTAGCTCGCATGATTGGAGTTGTGATGCAGCGATGTTGGACTTCTGCAGCGTTTTGTGCTCCTTAGCCGGCGGCTCCGTACAAGACCCTCTCTGCCACCGCAGCTTCTCCGCACTGGCTTATCATGGCTCCAGTAGTCCAACGTTGAAGCTAACTTCGTGGCGTGGAGGCGCTTCTGCCAGAGAATCAACCAGAGACGTTTCAAGCCTTAAGGAAACAAGACATCAAGATGAAGAAGGGACGAGCCGCCAAGCAGTGCAAGATGAGGAGATTCGTGCAGGGCAAAGCCAGGTGTTGCAGTGTAGCCCGACCTGTCCGTCCCACCGCAGCAAAGCAGGATGGCGCAGGGTTGCAGTGTGGCCACCCTGCTGAACTGTGCGGACAACAGCGGCGCCAAGAACCTCTACATCATTGCGGCCTTGTCCTCAGCCTGTCCTCAGAACGGTTCTTGTTTGCAAGTCGCATCGTGCCGAAGTTGGTTGGAGAGCATCATCTTTCACCCAGCTTGGATAGCAATGAGGAGTAGAAGTGGCTGTGGCCAGTGTGCCATCCCTTCTGTTGGACACCCAACGTGCAGAGCCTACAGCAGCCACTTAGACCAAGGTCTTTGGAATTGGTGGCCGCTTGAACAAGTTGCCGAACTGCTCCCCCGGTGATCTGGTGCCCGGCAGCTGAAATTGGGTAGTTGGGGATGGTAGGGTAGTTGGGGATAGTAGGATGAGGATAGGGTAGTTGGGGATGGTAGGATGAGGAGGCAGAAAGGTATGTACCTGTATTTACCCACGAGTCGCACTGGGATGGTTGTGATGCGTGGAGGTGCTGTGCAGTGTGAAGAAGGGCAAGCCAGAGCTCCGCAAGAAGGTGCTCAAGGGGGCCAGGAGCTCGGCACGTGTGCAGCAACAGCCTGCATTGCACTTTAGCTTGTAGTTTGTTGAAGCCAGCGTGGCTGACTTGTGGGGAGTGTCGTGAGGTTGTCATCCGCCAGAAGAAAGCCTGGAGACGCCGCGAAGGCGTCTACGTCTACTTCGAGGACTGGCGCACATTGGCCGGTCGCGCATGCCAACTTGCCGAAGAACGGGTCTTGCAACGTTGCTGGCTTTCTCTGGCATGAAGTTCTGTTGGTGACTGTGGAGGACAACGCGGGCGTCATCGTGAACGACAAGGGCGAGATGAAGGGCTCTGCCATCCAGGTTCCAAGTGCACCAAGCTGCATCTGCAGCCTGCCAGGGTGCCGGGTCCCAGGGTTGAGCGATGTACGTTTTGGATAGCTTGGGCTTACTGAGAGACTCATTGGTTCTGTCAGCGATTGCAGGAAGAGTCTTGCAGAGTTTTGCGTGCAGCCTCGGTGCTGCTAGGATTTCCCAGGTAGTAGTCAATGGACGTCAGTGCTTGCATTGTCGGCGCCGAACTGATTGGCCTTTCCGATGCCAGGGCCCCGTGGCCAAGGAGTGCGCAGAGCTTTGGCCCAAGATCGCCTCGTGCGTGGGAAGCTCAGTCGCAGCTGACGGTGGCGAAGCCTGGACCCACGCAAGCGGCAGCAGCATGTGCAGCAGAGACGGTAATCGCAAGAGTTGCACACCATAGTGAGCCATTGTTGTGGTGTCCTGGTAGAGCCTGGTAGTATCAGTTGTGGAAGCAGCCAACGAATGAGGACGAACATTTGCAGCTCGTTGATCATGAAGCCTTACGATCTTCTGATTGGCTTGAATGTCCCAGGCGCCCGCCATCTGCTGATCAGCCGGCCAAAGGAGCACAATGCGTCTACGGGAAAAGCACAACGAGAGCATGTTCCCAGCAGATTGGTTACATCATGACGTTTGGTGTGTTACCTCGGAATTTACACGCCCGCAGCTTTGGCTTAGTGTCCAGTGGCCTCCTGACCTCCTTAGTGTCCAGTGGCTTGGTCCAGTCAAGTCACCTTGATAGTTTTTGTCAGCTTTCTCGCGATATGTTGCCTGATTCTGAGTCTGGTGACTTTCAGAGGCCTTTCATTGCAGCTTTCATCTCACTCGTGTGAGGCCATCTTTGTTTATCTTTCTGCTCGGCGCCCTGGCCTACCCTGGTGCTGAAGCCAAGTGTGTCGGAAGTTGGATGTTGACTGGCTGTAGTCGATGGGCGTCAGGGTGCAGGGGGCTCAGTTCTTGAAGCATGTAGACAAGCTAGCGGCATAGCTGCTGCACGAATTGTTGCAGCTGTGGTTGCCCACGGTTGCTGGCAAAATTCCAGGAAGGCTGTCGTGCCAAGTTGTGACTGCACCAATATGCGCTTTGGCCTTGATGGAAGCGTCTGGCGGGACTGGAGTAAAACAGAGCTGCATGGACCTGCAATTTGCAGTAGTGCTCGTGGGCGCTCATGTGCTTCCAAGAACGTTAGCTCGCATGATTGGAGTTGTGATGCAGCGATGTTGGACTTCTGCAGCGTTTTGTGCTCCTTAGCCGGCGGCTCCGTACAAGACCCTCTCTGCCACCGCAGCTTCTCCGCACTGGCTTATCATGGCTCCAGTAGTCCAACGTTGAAGCTAACTTCGTGGCGTGGAGGGGCTTCTGCAAGAGAATCAACCAGAGACGTTTCAAGCCTTAAGGAAACAAGACTTCAAGATGAAGAAGGGACGCGCAGCCAAGCAGTGCAAGATGAGGAGATTCGTGCAGGGTGTGGGGGTTGCAAAGCCAGGTGTTGCAGTGTAGCCCGACTTGTCCCACTGCAGCAAAACAGGATGGCGCAGGGTTGCAGTGTGGCCACCCTGCTGAACTGTGCGGACAACAGCGGCGCCAAGAACCTCTACATCATCGCGGCCTTGTCCTCAGCCTGTCCTCAGAACGGTTCTTGTTTGCAAGTCGCATCGTGCCGAAGTTGGTTGGAGAGCATCATCTTTCACCCAGCTTGGATAGCAATGAGGAGTGGAAGTGGTTGTGGTCAGTGTACCATCCCTTCTGTTGGACACCCAATGTGCAGAGTCTGCAGCAGCCACTTAGACCAAGGTCTTTGGAATTGGTGGCCGCTTGAACAAGTTGCCGAACTGCTCCCCCGGTGATCTGGTGCCCGGCAGCTGAAATTGGGTAGTTGGGGATGGTAGGGTAGTTGGGGATAGTAGGATGAGGATAGGGTAGTTGGGGATGGTAGGATGAGGAGGCAGAAAGGTATGTACCTGTATTTACCCACGAGTCGCACTGGGATGGTTGTGATGCGTGGAGGTGCTGTGCAGTGTGAAGAAGGGCAAGCCAGAGCTCCGCAAGAAGGTGCTCAAGGGGGCCAGGAGCTCGGCACGTGTGCAGCAACAGCCTGCGTTGCACTTTAGCTTGTAGTTTGTTGAAGCCAGCGTGGCTGACTTGTGGGGAGTGTCGTGAGGTTGTCATCCGCCAGAAGAAAGCCTGGAGACGCCGCGAAGGCGTCTACGTCTACTTCGAGGACTGGCGCACATTGGCCGGTCGCGCATGCCAACTTGCCGAAGAACGGGTCTTGCAACGTTGCTGGCTTTCTCTGGCATGAAGCTCTGTTGCGTGACTGTGGAGGACAACGCGGGCGTCATCGTGAACGACAAGGGCGAGATGAAGGGCTCTGCCATCCAGGTTCCAAGTGCACCAAGCTGCATCTGCAGCCTGCCAGGGTGCCGGGTCCCAGGGTTGAGCGATGTACGTTTTGGATAGCTTGGGCTTACTGAGAGACTCATTGGTTCTGTTAGCGATTGCAGGAAGAGTCTTGCAGAGTTTTGCGTGCAGCCTCGGTGCTGCTAGGATTTCCCAGGTAGTAGTCAATGGACGTCAGTGCTTGCATTGTCGGCGCCGAACTGATTGGCCTTTCCGATGCCAGGGCCCCGTGGCCAAGGAGTGCGCAGAGCTTTGGCCCAAGATCGCCTCGTGCGTGGGAAGCTCAGTCGGAGCTGACGGTGGCGAAGCCTGGACCCACGCAAGCGGCAGCAGCATGTGCAGCAGAGACGGTAATCGCAAGAGTTGCACACCATATTGGGCCATTGATGTGGTGTCCTGGTAGTATCAGCTGTGGAAGCAGTTAACGAATGATCACGAATACTTGCAGCTCGTTGGTCATGAAGCTTTGCGATCTTCTGATTGGCTTGAATGTCCCAGGCGCCCGCCATCTGCTGATCAGCCGGCCAAAGGAGCACAATGCGTCTGCGGTGAAAACACAACGAGAGCACATGTTCCCAACAGTCCCAACAGTTTAGTTAAATCATGATGTTTCGTGTGCTGAGGCAGTTCGCACATCCGCAGCTTTGGCTCAGAGTCCAGTTGCCTTCTGACCACCTCGACCAGCTAAGTCAGACGATGATGCGTCGCGCCAGAGCCTTTGTTGTGTTGTTGTGTGTCACAGAGGCCAGAGCCAGATCTTGGTAGCTTTCTTGAACTTTGCCCCTGAGGCCGGGTCTGGCTTCTTGGTGCTGGGCGCCCTGGCCTACCTGGCCTGGGGCCCCAGCTTCACGGGCCCGGCGCTGAAGACCGACAGGCAAGAGAGCGCTGTGGTCCGCATGGCTGGCTCCTCCAAGTGGGTGAACCCAGTGGATCCTGAGATGTCCCACCCCAGTGGTCTGTACGTCCTTCCTCTGAAGCCGGCGAAGAAGACCGAGCCTTACGTCTACACCTGGAAGAAGGACGAGAAGACTGGTGAGCTGAAGGATTACGTGAAGACGCCTTACAAGGGTTTCGAGAGGGCCTCCCACTTCTACGTGAACCGCAAGCAAAACGGAGCCTGGGACCACTGGGGCCCAAGCGGGGAAGGTGAGGCTGCATGAGCACGACCCGCACCCCCCACACTTTTTGAAGTCGCAAATAGTGGTCAGCTCTCTCAGAACTGGGACTTGGCAAAAGCTGAGCTGCTCCACGTCAGTAGTCTTGCCGAGGCAGACATCAGAGCCAAAGATATGCGAGTGCTGCCTTGTGTTGTGCATTTTGTGCTTGGACGTCTAGTGTTTCTTGTTGCAACACCCGCGGCTGAGTTGAAAGCTATGGGCCGATTCCGGTCATTGTAGACTAAGTCGATGATGTGGCACGAAAGGCGTGAGGGCTCAAGCGTTGTTGCGGGCTCCACAAGCAAGTCGGTCAACCATGGCTGGCTGATGGCTCAGTTCTGCGTCGTGTGACCTTGCATTGGAAGAATCTTGCAAGCAACCGACGCACCAACGAGGAAACTCGGGTGCTGACTTCAACTACCTGGAGTTCTTCAAAGAGGAAATCAGAAATGAGAACGCCACCATCAAGATTGGCGCCCTCCTTACCGGGTAGCCTTAACAGCTTTGAATGAAGCTGCTGGACGAGTTCGCCCGGCTGCTCTCATTGTTCTTCAAGCAGTTTGTCCCCCCTAATAGTGTTAGTCATGTTTGACAGCCTAAGGGGCTGTGAACAACCTGCACCTCATCGCCTCGGTCCCGTCCCTGGCACACGGGCTACGCTAGACCTTGCAGAGTCTCAGAGGCTGGTGCAACCTTGATCATACGCATGTTTCATGTGCGTGTGTGTGCGCGCACGCAGAGTGCGTAGTAACATCCTCGAAAGGCGATTGCTGCAGCATCTTTCAGCTTCTTTGTTCCGCCTGCTATGTCGTCCGGTCGATCGTGGGATCAGGAGTCTGCAGGGCTGTCTTCATGCGTGAGCATGGTGGGCTAGTCGCCCACTTCATCGACGAACAACCTCCTGGGCTTCCTGCCTAGGCACTGCATGGCCACGTGGCGCGACAAGATGCGCCTTGCACGAGTTCGGCACGGCTGTGGGGGGGGGGGGGTGCATGGGGTGCTGGGAGCTTGCGTCCTGACTTCCTCAATGCCTGCCACCAATGGGCGGTACGATGTCCATCCCATGGCCGAACCTTCCTGGTGCGACGTCGCGGAGTCGTGCTGATGCACAAGGGAAAGTGTCAAGTTTCTGGGCGTCGTCTAGGAGGGGGCCACGAGATCCACAGGGCACTGAGCTCGGGGGTGCCAGCGCCTTGAGGGGGGTTCGGGGTGCCCATCTCCGTTCAGGGGTGGTGTGGTATCCCCACGCGCCGCTAAAACGGCGTGCCGGCTTGGCGTCGTGCATGTGGCAAACGTACGTAGGAAACATTATAAAACAGCCGAATGTCGCAGTATTTGCCTCAAGCTTTCAGCTTGAAGGCATCATCCACGCCGCTACAGCGCCCTGACGCGTCGTGCATGTGCCAAATAAGAAGGTAAAATTGTTGTGTTGTCCGCTTATCAGTCCGCCTTGTGATTTCGGGTTGGTGTTTCAGAGTTACAGCTGTAGCAGCTATAACTGCAACCCTGCTGTTGTCGGATGTGGTTGGGGCGATACAATTCGCCAGAACTTCCGTTCCCAGATGCTGCTGTTTCCTGAGGCTTTAGGGCCGCAGCGGACGGTCACCGAGCTGATCCCGTATGTCGTGCAGGTGTGCGCTTGAGGGTCTTCCTTGAATCCCCGCACTCCCGGGTGCAACCTCCAAGGCCAAACAAGGTTTTGCTTTGTGCCCGAACTGTGCGAAGCTGACCGACAGGTGGTGCAAGAGGAGCCTTTGTGCAACGATGACGAGTTCCTCTATTCAATGGCAAGGCGGGGACCGAAACGGATCAGAGGTTGCCAGAAGTTGTTGAGTTTCATGCAAATCAGAAGCAGATTCTAGTTTAGGTTGCTTCTGTGTTTTTCGGGATGTAGCAGGTCCCGCATGGACCCCGTTTGTGCCATAGACCTTCGTCCGTTCAGGCAGTATGCCGTGTTGTCTGACTACATCAACGGCCATGACGATCTGTGAAGACCTCGGGCTTGCTTGGGTTTGGTGTCGTATTTGAGCACCCGGAACATCATTCAGAGCCCTAAGCTCCTCGAACCCGCCCCGCAAAGCCTCGCTCCTCTCCTCTGCTAAGGCTCATAGCGCCTCTGGAGCACCTAGCGGCGCAGGAAGAGACCGTCATCCGAGACCAGGCAGCTGAAGTGTCGAAGAATTGCCTTGGCTTCCTTTCGGTGGTGTGCGGTGCCAAGGCGATCCAATCTTTGTGCAAGGTCATTGAGAAGAGGCCCATGTGTTGTGGTAGTGCCCATGCCAAGCAGAGATCCCAGGCAACATTCCATTCTCCATGATGCAGGTTCATGTTCCTCAGGACTTGCCGAATGGTCAAGCATAGCACTTCTTTGGTCTCTACACAGCTGCACAGTGGACCCCTGTGAAGCCATTTTGGCCGTTGGAACATGCAGGTATCCTGTAGGAGGTCCGCTGCCATGATTCTTCCTTGTCCAATGACGTGCGACGACCAGCTCACCACCGCAAGCACCACACCAACAAGATCGGTTCAAAGCTTCGCAAGCTGGTTGCACAGGGGCCAGACCAAAGAGATCGCGCAAGCACAGGTGAAGGAGTCAGCTTTGGGTATGGGCATAAGATCGAAGTCGAAGCGTCGGAAGCTGCAACAGCGCGAGCGCTTGGAAGAGTTTCTGAAGACAAATGGCTTCGCGGATGTCTTTGAGCCGCGCCTTGCGCCTGGCTGCCTCTTCCGGGCTGAGACCATTTACCCCCTTCACCTGGCTGCACAGGTCGCCGGGTCTGTATTTTGTAAGAGATCAGAACAAAGCCTCAGGCCCTTGTAACCCCAGTGCGTCAGTTCCTCAAAAGTCCTTCGGACAGCCCAGGTGGGCGATTGTGAGATGGTGCGCCTGCTTCTGGCCGCCGGAGCTCAGCCCACTCAGAGGACGTCACGTGGGCGCACAGCCGTCGACTTCGCTGCCAAGTCCAAGGGGCCGCAGCGCAGCAAGGCTGGGCCAAGCTTCTTTTAAGGTTCGCCTCTGTTGAATCCGGCTTTAGGGTCTGCCTTAGGGTAGTTACATGGTCCCTTAGTATGGGCCCTTAAAAGGGGGGGCGCCCATATATATATATATATATATATATATATATATATATATATATATATATATATATGTATGTATGTATGTATGTATGTATGTATGTATGTATGTATGTATGTATGTATGTATGTATGTATGTATGTATGTATGTATGTATGTATGTATACATGTATATATATATATGTATCATTCCATCCCCTATATACCCTTCCCAACCCAAGGGCCCGAACTTCCGAACCCTTTGCAGGAGGTAAGGGACTATATGAAGGGCCTATGTACTACCCTTAGAGTGACTGCAATCCCTAAACCCTGTGAGCTCTAAAACCTAGCCCCTAATCCCTAGTCGGAGGTTCAGGGTACTTATAACCCCAGGTAAAACTGCACCTATGAGCCCCCCTTCCTTTCCTTTCGGGGCTTGCAGCAAATAATGCCGGTGCTGGCCAAAAGTAGGTGGTGTTCACCTACAGCCATGAAACTAACAAGGAGTCACTATGTCAGGCAGAGAGGAACTGTACAGCTCAAGTGCGGGAAGACGATCAAGGTGACTGGTGGGCCGCCGCAAGGCGCAAGCGGCCCAGGCGTGGCAGAGAGCCGGGAGAAGCCGGACCACCGTCATGTAGTCGCTGGAAGAGGACCGCCGCACCAGCGCAGCGTGACACGACAGTGTGAGTAACACCCGCCCTTTCGATCACCCGGACAGAGAGGTCCGCATCAACCGAGTGCAGAACGGACCGCGTGGCCACGCAGGGACGCCCTTTCCACCAAAGGGCTCCCGAACTGCCCATGGCTTTGACCACCTGTCTTTCGCAACCTGCGTTGCATGCCAGTTCACTTCTTGGGCAAGGGACGTGACAGGCGCCAAACCTTCCTCCGGGGCCAAAATAGCTGCATGAGCCCGGTCTGCACGAGCTTGCAAGGCTGAGAGCACACTTCCCGGGGCCACGAACTTCAAGGTGCTTGTAGTGCTGCCCTTGGCAGCCGCTCCCTTGCCTGTACTCTTGGCTTTGTCCTTGGCACGGTTCTGGTCTTTCGGTGCCATGGAGCCGTGATGAAGGCGAAGAAGGGTATAGTCCAGCAAGGTACCGCGACCAGCTCTGCACCGCCTTCTTGCCCTTGCCCTGTTCCGACGGAGTTTCCGGTGCCAGGAAGGCGAAGGTGGCCGTTTCACCCTCGCCACAGTCGGGGGCCACTAAGTTATGAGCTGCGCAGCTCAGAAAAACACCAGTTGTAATATAAAGGGCAAAAGCCCGAAGCCACATGCGACACCTCCAGGAGACGCAAAGGTTGTAGCCAAAACCAGGAACCAGAAGTAAATGACAGCAGGTGGTCCCAGTAGGCTACCAAAAGTAGCCAGTGACGCCGCCAGCGATGGCGGACGTCGACGCACCGAGCGCGAGCGCAGGAGATGCTGGGGCTCTGCTAGGACAGCAAGAGGTGTGTTCCGGGCAGAAACACACCAAACACTGGGTTTGAGCAGAAGCGCCTTATGAGCCCCCCCTACGTCCCCTAAGTAGGTTATAAGTAGGCCCAAGGCAATACTTTACGTATCCGAAAGTTGTGTGCCGCACTGATTACATATACTGCTGAGGAGGAGAGCATGGTCGAAGTTGTACAGGTCTGAAGGCTAGTAGTTAAAACAATAACATAAAACAATAACATATGACTACAAGAATGGCTGAGTTGATGAAAAGGGATGCTCCAAACCCAAAACCCAAAACCCAACACCCAAAACCCTAAACCCTAAACCCTGAACCCTAACCCCTAACCCCTAACCCCTAACCCCTAAACCCTAAACCCTAAACCCTAAACCCTAAACCCTAAACCCTAAACCCTAAACCCTAAACCCTAAACCCTAAGAATCCTAAGCCCTAAATAGATGCAGGTGCTGGAGCTTCTGAGCTCCCAAGGCCCGGTCTTCTGCCTGAGGGAAGCCCTAGATGTAATGAGTGCGCAGAAGGACAGAAGGATGGATTGAGCTAGGGTTTAGGGTTTAGGGTTTAGGGTTTAGGGTGTAGGGTTGAGGGTTGAGGGTTGAGGGTTGAGGGTTCAGGAGCTATCATGAGCCAAGCTCTGACTGCGTGCGGCCGTTTGAGAGAATCTCCGACCTGGCCGCTGCATTGTACAGTTTCCTTGGCCTCCAATTTCTTGATTGGCCCCAACATGGGCGTTGTTATACATACTGTTCCAAAAGGCTAACTCTTGCAGCCTGCAAGCAGCCTGCAAGTGGGCCTTGCCAGATTCGTGGTTTAAAATTCGTGCTAAATGTTCGAAGTTCGCAACCTTTGAAGAAGACTGCGCTGATGCTGTAGCCAAGCCCTGTGGCGGCACGCATCGCAGAGGCATGATTGGCCTGACTGCCTCACAAGTCTTTTAACAGCCTCAGTCTTTTTCCTGTTGTCTTTTCAGTTTGACACTTTGCTCTCCTCTCGGCTACTCGGCTTTGCTCTCATCTCGGTTCCCTGGTTTCTCCAAACCGGAGATATGCTATCGATTGTTTATGGTGCCTAAGATGTGTGGAGTGAGGACAGGCAAAGTGTGAGCGCGCACCTCTACTCACCCAAGTTCCCGGATCACATCGCCCCAACCGTCGCATGGATCAGAGCATACAGTCACGATCGGTTAGCCAGAGCGCGTCTGGGATGGGTGAAGTAGATGGGGGGGCAATTGCGCATGTACGACTCTTGACGGAGTAAGGTCTCCTTGTCGCATATGAGCCCGTGACTAAATTGCCCCAGATAAGGGGAGAGTAAGGGTGGACGCTATGATCCCGAATCGAAAACCCACGTCGTAGGAAACTTGGTCCGGAGCTCATGTAGAATTATTTAGTGACCTCGGATGTCGCCATTTGCTTGCGAGCTGAAAACACAGTTGTTTGCAGCTTTGTGGGGAAATGCCGCGAACTCCTCTACCTGCTTCCCATCCCCACCTCTTTCTCCTCTGCCTCTTGGCCTCCCTCTCCACCCCTCCCCTCGGCTCTCGGCCCCCTTTTGGGCCTCTCTTGGACGGATCCTGTTACAGTGGAGGCCTGCACTAGCGCCGGACCATCTGGCCGCGCCCTTGGACCTCAGCTCATTCTTGTGTTCCAGCTTCCCCTCACGATGTCCTTCAGTGGGTTCCCCGAGTAACCTTCAGGGCAAGATGATGAGATGTTCTGGAGTTCTGCCAGGTGCCGACTCTTCATCGTCTGGCCACGAAAACAGACTTCTTCACCGCTCGGGTTTCGGCTTGCGTGGAACACTTAGTTGCAGTTTGTAGCCTTGGAGTCACTTGTAGATGTGTAAAGGGGGCTTTACACAGAGCTCGCACAACAGTACACAAGTTCCTGATCCACAAGGCTTTGTGTGCAGCCCGGCCTAAGTAGCAGACGGTGCACAAACAGCAACTCCTGCTGTTTTCTCTTTTGCTGCCTTGTTCCCGAGTTCCCAAAGGCACTCCTTCCCCTTGCCTACCGTCATGCCCGGAGCTCGGGTGAGGCTGCTGGGTGCCAGTAACGTCTATTATTGCGAAGCATGTTTCGAGGTGAAAGATGATCAGAAGGCGGGCTTGCGGAAGGTGCGCCTCAGAAGCACGGTGAAGGGCTTGATCCCATCAAGCTGGCACTTGTTTTGTCTTCCGACCGCACCGCTCTTCTCGCCGTTGCGTCAGACCATCTGGACAGAGTCTTCGCATCAAGGGAGTTTTATGTGAATGTAGACAGCAGGCTCCACCTGCTTTTCAACCATTCAAGGTATCTCGCACAGCAACATACCCACGGCTCTACACCGGCTTGCAGCTTCCACCTGCACGTAAAGCTTAGTGCCGCTTAAGATCACTAACAGAGCGACTTCGAAAAGTTGCTGCAACTGTGCAGCCTGGGCTGCATGGCCAGCGGCTCACCTGTCAGCTGAGATCGATGCCTTGACACATTTCGACAATGAAGTACCGTCGCAGGGTTGCTCGTCACACAGGGATCCGGTCTTGCGTCCCACTTGCACCCACAGTTTCCTTGGGCCTTACACACACATTTTCTTTGTGGCGGGATGAAAGTTGCACACTCCCGGCATGACTGTGTCAGCTGGAGTAGTTCGCTCGGTCGCTCGATGTACCGGCAGCCACAACCTGCCAAAGACATGTGCTGGGGTCACACCGCAAGTGTTTCGTTGTTCGTGAAGCGGCGCAGGGCTTGATCGTTCGAAATTCCGTTTTCTGTGGGCTGCACATCGGCTGTCAGGCCTTCACGATGCTTTGTGCCGATGAGACGCCAATGGTGCGTCGCGCTGCGGCGCACAAGATGCGTGACTTCGTTTCTGTCTGCGCGAAGCAGGCGGGAAGCTGTGGTGATGCCTGCGTGTCAGCTCTGCACCCTCATTCTCCTCAGGGCAGAACATTCTGTTTTTTTGCGTTGGCTGGCCAGGATCTTCTCACAGACCTGATTGGCGTCTACAAGCAACTGTCGCAGGAAGACACTCAGGACCCTTGCAACTGTGCAAGAAATCGAGGGGGGATTCCCGGTACCTGTGCTGCAACAACATGGTAGACGTTAGGTATGTGCAGGGCAAGCTTCACACATCCGAGTTCAGAACCGCAGCACTTCAGGACACAATTCGTGTCGCCTGTGTTCATGCCACACTGGTGATTGCCAAGATGCTGAACGCCGATGAGCGTGTTGCTCAGTGAGCCTAACTCGACCTTTCAGGTTCCAGTGCCGCTCCCAGAATCTCGAACGTGTGCAAGTGTCGTATGGCTAAGGAACCGCCAGCACACCGTGACAGTCATCAAGGACAATGGTCATCAGCACTTTGAGTCGTGACGGTGGTCACAATTCCTGCAACAGCATCATACATGGACATGCCGCAGCAACAGAACAGATGTCGAACGTGCTGCGGTGGCGCACAGTGACAGTCAGGAGTTCCACTTCCAGTGCCACAATCTCATATTTTATCAGCACCCTAAACCCTAAACCCTAAACCCTGAACCCTGAACCCTAAACCCTAAACCCTGGACCCTGAACCCTAAACTCTAAAAGGCTGCCACCCGAAGCCCCCACACCCCGGAGTCGACATCCCCAGTGCCACAGTGCCATGATCCAGGATGCTGCAGAAGACCGCTCCTGGCGTGTGAGGCCGGCGCCCAGCTGCGTGGTTGTGCTGCGGTTCCTTTGTGAGGTCACGTCATGAGAGGGTGTTGAGAGGTTCTGGGGTCGAGGGCTGTTTCTCCTAAGCTCGATGCTCGCGGACAGTCTTTGTGCCGGTTTCTCCACAGCTTCTTGGGCCAGATCTGGTTTGGAAGGACGATGTATGCATAAAATGCCATTGAAATGGGCAGTTCTGCCTGGCTGAGGCACCAGAAGAATTTTCGGAGATGTTTGGCGTGCACGTATCCATTCGTTGTCCAACTGGGCGAAGGCTGACGGTAGCCAAGAACTTTGACCAGCTCTGCCAAGCCTTCGGTGGGAGGCTCAGGCATTTCTCTACGGAGAGCTTGGGGCCCGCGGCTGCCAAGAGTGTTAAATTTTTGAGGTTTCCGAAGAAGGTTTTGTCAAGTTGCCGAGGGTTTCCGAGGGTTTCCGAGGGCATCCTACGGTGTTCGCTTTTTCAGAGGGTCGCTCCCATGAGGTCCGGAGCTGACGGCTCAAAAGCTGATGCAGCCTTTCATCCAGCTGATGAAGGCCGAGCCTTTGTGTGCGAAAGTCTATGAACGTAAGAAGAGCCCGTGCCACTTCTGCAGAATAAGTTGCACCTTGTCCCTGAGAGGACAACGAGCAGGAGGTGAGGAAGGAGGCCGTGCGCGTCATTGAGGCGTGCCTCAATCTGTCTGGGCCCAAAGTTACGGACGCGTGGATGCCAGCCCCCCCCTTTTTTTTTTTTTTCTCTCCAGTAGACCACCCTAATCATACTTGCCCAGGCCAGAGCCTCTCACATCTGAGCAGCTCCAGCAGCACATTCTGCCGGCAGCCGAGACAAGTTCGCAGAGATGGCCCTCCACCCCAACACTCAAGTTAGCCGGACTAGCCGAGTCGTAGCATGGGCCTATGTTTAAGACTTCTTGCTCTTGCCAAGTGTTCCAGTCACGCTGCATCTGCTCGAGCGTGCGAAAAAGCTCTAGAACCTTCATCGGGTCAGAAACGATTCGCAGTTCCCATGCCGTCTCTCAGCTCTCTCGTGGAAGTGCGGGCGTTGCCCTTAAGAAGGTCCCGCATGCCCCGAAACTTCTTCGAGGCTTCTTGGGACCTTGTCTGCAGTTCGAAGTCGTCGCTTTCGTCCGCCAAGCCGCCGAACTCTTAACCTTTCCCGGCTCGTCCAGTCGTCTCGAAGCCTCTAGAGTCTAGACTGCAAGAGAAAGTCCCCCAAAGCGAAACACAGCTCTTTCTGCTTTCTGGGACGTTTGAGGCCTCAGTTCCAGGGTCTGGGCCTGGATCCTGCGCAATCCGTGCGAGCTGCAGGGCCCTTGGCTCCTAATGCCATGACCCGAAGCCTTCAGTGATTTCAGTGCCGTTGATGAAGTGTGGAGATCATCCATCCTTCCTGCCAGAGGCCCTGGCGCAAGTTTTGGGTCCGGTGGCAAAAGCCCTCGGCCGTGACGCCACCTGGCAGCAGAAAGCATGAAGGCATCCCAGGAGACTCAGGAGACTGTGGCTTCATCTAGGTACCCGGGGACTTCAGCTAACGTGCTCACTCTAAATGCTCATGACTGAAGCGACGTGTTGCAGTATGGTGCAGCGCCAGGTCACACAACGACAGCTACTGAGCGACGCCGCCACGCTTGGGATTCGGGATTGACACGGCCAACTGCTTTCAAATTTCTGTGTGCCGTACCTTGCTTGGTTTGCATGGCGCTTATGCTGCTTATACTAGCTTCTCGAAGATTTTTTGATATCTAGGTTCACTCCCCAAGAAGGGTCGGCACCACCTGCATGGATCCCATTGCTTCATCTGATGCCCTCACCGACAGGTCTCATCTCCGATCTCATGAAGGCCTGTTCAGTTCAAAAACGCAAATTTGCATTGGCCTTGACATCGGTTCGCTTGGGACTCACTGGCTCCGAGCTTGCAGGACGAGTTTCATGATGTGCGGCTGAACATCGTCTCGCATGCCGGCCTCATCTGCGAAGTTTTGAGCGTTGATGGCCTGGCCTGGGCCTGAAAGGTTCCTTTGCCACCCCGATAGATGTGCAATCTGACCCTTTCTACTGCGAAAGCTCACTCCTTCAGACTGGGGTTGGCATTGTGGTTCGGCTCGTTTTTATGAAGTGAGCGTCTTCCGACATGATGTGTGGTCGTCACCTTCACTACTGCAATCTTCCTTCACGCAATCACACACAGGTTTTTCGTGAAGGTTCCAGTTGTCGGTTGCTTTCAGCCGCCCTATCGAGGTCCACTCACTTCTGCACACAGTACAGAACTTGATCATGGACAATCACTGGCGAATCCGCCACAGCCCTGGGATCATCTTTTCCCCCCCCCCCCGCCCCAATGGAGACTGGCCGTCTGCGATGCGCTGCTCTCGGGCATCTTAGGTCAGAGCGTTGTAGAGCAAGTTCCGAAGCTGGTGGTGGGCTTGGACGGCCGAGCGGGTAGGAAGTGATAGACGTGTTGTAGCGAGCCGAGGGAGGGCGCGAGTTTTTCACGCCTTGCTTACGTGCAGCTTGCTTTGTGACTCAGTCGCGACTCTTCGGCATGGAGATGTTCCAGTCCAAGCTGGAGGCCTTTTCCCTCGATAGATGAGCATCGAGTTCTTGCTTCAATATTTTTTGTGGTTTCTGCCTTCTTAGACAGAGGCAGGTTCTGCGAAACAGCCAGTACGAACTGGCCTCGAGAATTGCACGGCCTGCTGGCAAGGGATCATGATCATGCGCTCGGTGGGTCATGGTGGGTCGAAGGCCTTCAAGGCGGCTACGTATGGAATCCGGGAAAGCGTGGGCATCACATTTTTCCCCCCGTTGGACACTTAAATGGAGGTTTCCAGTGCTCATATGCTCTCAGTTTTCACATGCTCCGACAGCTGAAGCGTCATTGCAAGTCTGCCTATAGGGCCTTGTGATTTTCAGCCGAAGCCACAGGGCCCATGTGGAACAAAAACACTTTCCTGGACACCGCAGTGTAGTCTGGCGATGCTAGAAAGATGAGTGGTCTCGTTTCCTTGCAGTAACTTGCAACTATTTGGTGTGGGTCAGGCTCGGGGCTTTGGGGTTCCTGCGCAGACCATCTTCCTGTCCAGCTTGCGCGACTCCGTGCACTCAGTGCGCCAGGCCCGCTCTCGCAGACTCCTTGTTTTTTCTCCTTCAGAGCGCATCTGACAAGCCCGAGGCTGCCATCCAGCACCTGAAAGAGATTGCTGATACTTTCGGTTCCCAGTGGACAGTGGAGCACTTGCTGTCCAGCCCCGAGATATGCAGAGATGATCTCAGGTGCTCAGAGACGCTTGTCGTGACGTTGAGGCCCAAGCTGGTCGAGCAGTACTCCGGCAGCGTAGGCTACGCGAACCGCGTGACAACGTCTGACCCTTCACAAGACTGATTTGGGATTTCCGAAAATAGGGGTACCCCTTATATACCCCAAAATGCTGTATAATCCTGTCAAAGGAAGCCCCCAAAAGGTTACCCCTATTTTCGGAAACCCCCCCATTTTGGTCAATGAACTTCGTTCAACAATTCATCCCAGCTGCTGTGTGGTCTTTTAGGCTCCACGTGCTGCCGCAAGTGTCGGGGGTGATGACGCAGTCTCCTCAGAGCCTCAGAGTCTTTCCTTTGCTCTACCGTACCGTGTTGATAAAGTTGTTTATATCATTTTGGCCACGGCCACAAAATAGAGGTTCAACCATCTCAGCAAGCTTTCTGGGCTTTTCTCTTCCTTTGGACTCACCAGACCCTGCTGCACGAGGAGGCATCCGACTGTGAAGCTTGCAATCCGAAGATGCAAGGGAGCTGGCGAACCGAAGTTTGGACCATGCTCGGAGCGAGCTGTGTGTCAGCCTTCTTGTAATCATCCCACCTCTCGTTTTGCGAGGCCGCTAGGTGAATCTCCTGATTCACAAAGAGGGAGTACCTGGTACTGGTGTGCTTTTCGAGACGTGCATCTTCATATGCCTTCATCGAGTTTGTCTGGCTGAGGACACCTTAACTTATCGGCGAGGGAGGAAGAAAAAGTTGAAGTTTCGCAGTCAAGAAGTGGGGAATGCCCGAGAGGGCAGCGGTCTTCCGTACCACGTTGACGAGCCTGCCAAGTGCGCCTAGTAACTTAGTAGGTGACTATGGTGGCACGGGTGCAAAATTCAATACGCCTTTCCCAGTTGTGGCTATGCGACCTCGGCCATCATGTCAGATGCGGCTACCTTCCACATAGCTCAGTCCACCTGCTTCTGCATCTGTACGCCCGCTACACGATGTCATGATACTGCAGCTACATTGGCAGGCTTTCTGGTCTGAGCAGAGAAGCGTTATCTGCAGGTTGGTCAGGATTGCTCTACCGAGGCCGGAGCAGCTTGTGCAGTACATAGTGCCTCTTCTCATCAAGGCTACCAAGGACAACGCACTCTTGAGTTTGTGCTCTGCATCTCTCGGGGTCAAAGTGTCAGATTGAGGGTCGCCCGCAGTTTACATGCAGCCACGGGACATCTTTGGTCGGTTCTGTGAGTGAGCTTTCCTGCAGGACACTGTGCCCAACGTGCGCTTCTGCGCTTGTCGAACCATCATGTGGATGTAAACCTGGCCTGTTTAAACTCGGCAGCCATGTATAGAAGATCTGTCGAAGAGTTGCAGCTGCTTGACTACACCCCAGTCGAATGCGACATGAGACACGAACAGGCTTTCGGCCCGTTGTGATGATTGTTCATGCCACCCTTGCTCAACACTGCGAGTGGTCCGTAAAATTCTCCTCGACACTTAAGGGGCTCTCAGAGTCCTTTGGGGTTTAGGGTTTAGGGTTTGGTATCTTCGTGGTTCTTCTTCGAATGTTTGCCCCAATGCTACATGACAGGATGGAGCACCACAATCTGGGGAGCCAGACTATCACCTCCACCATCAAGCCGTGTTTGCAGGAGTTGGGCCCTTGGTGAGGGTAAAGCTGCATCAGATGCTACATTTTGAATCCCACGTCTACCCGGGATTGCTGAAGAGCTGGATCTGAAGACGTGCAACTGCGAAGCCGCAAGCCTTGAGGCTGGAACACGACCCGGACATCGACGTCCAGTACTACGCGCAGCGCGCGTTGCTTCTCTGACGCCACCTCAGGCGTTAGCATCCGGGAAGTCGCACAAGGCAAGAGGAGGATGGGCTGAAGGTTCAGCGCGCTCCCAGGAGGCCGCAAGCCCTAAGCCCTAAACCTAAACCCTGAACCCTAAACCCGAAACCCTAAACCCTGAACCCGAAACCCTAAACCCTAAACCCTAAGCCCTAAACCCTAAACCCTAAACCCTAAACCGAGGCTAGGAAGCGTCGTTCCAAGATGCGACAGCCCTGCTCGCTTACCAACCTTGCCAGTATTCTTAGTATTCTCACTCTTCTTAGCATTGTTCGTATTCTTCGTATTCTTTGTATTCTTCGTCTTCGTACTCTTCGTACTCTTCGTATTCTTCGTATTCATAGTATTCTTAGTATTCTTCGTATTCTTCGTATTCTTGGAATTCTTAGAGTTCTTAGTGTTTCTTTTTACTTTTGTTAGTATTCTTATACTCTTCCTCTTTGCATTTCCCGTGTCTTGCTTGTTCTCTGTTGCTTTTGAAACGGGCACTCAGGGGGTGGGCTGAAGTTGCGTCTTGGAGTGAAGACGCTGAGGCTGCCTGTTCAACTTGTACACACAAATACAAGAATCATCTGGCACTGAATTGACTACACCTGATGATGCGGCGGTAGGTATTTGCTTGACTATGTCGTCGGATTTGCTGGTCGCTCACCCCACATGTATGGTTCCTGTTCGTGATTCGTGCTGCCAGGATTGCGAGGTGTTCTGGGCTTGCGATCTCTGCAAGTATTCTCCGATGTTAAAGCTCGCCAGTGTGCTGAGCTCTTTCATCTGTGGGTGGTTGGCTGGAAGCGCAGAAGCTTCCATGCTAGCGGCGACGTAGCAGCTTTTTGCTAAGTCTGAGCGTGGTTGTGACAGCCTTCCCCCAACGACTGAAGTTCGCCAAAGATTCCATGCCTGTGGCTGCAAACGGCCTAGCAGGCTGTGGAACAGCAGTGTAACACATAGCACACCCCTGCCCATAAGATACAGCTTTTGTTCCGTGTATTTTGCCTGACGTAGTAGCATCGCACATCTTTGCAATGGACGTGGCTACGGGGATTACCAGGATTTTGCAGACTCTGTCCTGCCGAACGTCTGCAGGGCGCGTTTAAGGGGAGGCCGAGAAGAGGGCGCCAGCTCGTACAAGTGTTGTTGGGTTTTTCGGTTTCAGATTGTCATGGGCTTGTGTAGTAGCCTCTAAGGTTAGTTATGTTGACAAACATGACTAAAGACTAATGTGGCGCAAGGTTAACACAAAGAGTGATGCCTTGACGTTTCCTGAGTCTCAAATCCAATTCACACGCACCCTCCGAACTGCAGTGGAGCGGCGAGTGCATGCGGGCGCGACTGAAAACAAGAAGAGCGCTGTTCTGTTCGGTCGATAGTTCCGTCCCGTACAGGGCCAGAGTGCTTGGCCACCCCGCTGACTTTGATTCAAGCCACACACATTGATCAATCTAAGCCGCATGTCTGAGCAGAAGTGTCCTGGTCCGGCAGCTACTGAGAAGGAGTCCAGCAACCACACAAAACGACTTTGGTACTCTAGCTAGTAGTACACTTATTGGTGTAGCCCCTTGACATCCCTTGACCATCGCGAGCATATGCGACCATGGTGGTTTGCAGGTGCAACCCGGCCGAGCCCAAGCGGGACATGTTGCAGCATATATATATATATTTATATGTTGCAGCTTTGGCGGATTTTTGTAGACTCTGGAGCCGGAAAGTATGGGAGCACCCCGCCATTCCTGAAACGTTAACACCTAAATCCAAGACCTTTGTGAAGGACTGCGCGTGGCTCGCCACGAGGGCAGGCCGGAAACACCATCTTCACATGGGGGGGGGTGGTTGTTCTGGACTGAAGCCAGCTTTTTCTCTCTTCTGGTCGGGAATGAAGGAATAGTGGGCAGCAATGGCAAGTATGATTCCCCAGTCCTTGATCAGCAATGGCAATCCTAGTGATGTCCCATTACTGCATTCCCTAGCGGAAGTTTGGTTGGTGACCCTTCATTAGAATATTCTTATACAGGCTTTAAATATGTGGGGCCCCGTATGACGTCACAACAACTTCCCCACCTCCAGATGAGCTGAGTGAGTCTTCAATACTTGCAGTGGATATGGTATTGTGGGGTCGGGCATTGGCATTCTCTATCTGTCAAGGCACTTGTGGGGCTCCTTTCCGGCGAGGCGCCGCGGGCAAGCGCTTGCATCAGCCTGTTATGCCATCCTTGACAAGTGCATGGCTCGCGCCGGAACCGCAGAACCTCATCACAGAAACAAGCGAACATAGCTTGCCTGGTCACCCGAGCTTCATCCACAACATTCCACAACTTCGAGGGCCTCATTGGACCTTCGGGCTTCTCCGCCTGGCCTGCCCTCAAAAGATTGTGTCAACGCCGTGCTCTAAACAGCTCTCTTCTATGCCGGCACAAGCCGATAGTACATGACGTATATGGCTTGCACCTCACCTGCAGCGATGGGAGGTATAGGACTGCAGGTGTCCGTCACGCCTGCAAGATGCTTGACAAAGCTTGACACACCACATCGGGGGACAAAAAAGGAAGGGAGGACGGCGGCGACACAGAGACGAGTTGCCGCCGGTGTGACAGGCGACGAACAGACAGGGCTTCAGCTCTTCCTGCGATCTGAGCCGTGCAGTTGGATTCAGTTGGATTCCTTCTCGAAGCTAAACTCGAAAAGCAGTCCTCGACTCACTCCTGAGACTTTGAGATGCAGCATACTACAGCTGCGTTACGCTGCGTGCTTTGCCTGCTCGGAGCTGGTGTCGATGCAGGCAAACATTGCAACACCATTGTCGTGCATGACTCCATTCGCCATTCCGCCAACGACTCAAATTGGCCTCCCATAGCAGTGCCACAAGGCATGCAGGTCGCTGACGGCGCATCCCTTGCAGAGGAAGTTTAGGATTTGCGGAGTTGGGGTTGCAAACTGCAGGTAGGAAGCTCTTTGCTGTAGGCGACTTGGTGTTCACCCCAGGGATACTCTGCGAAAGGCTGGGAGCAGGAGACCTGTGCTAGGAGAGGATGAGGAGTTTTCAAATCTTTGCCCCACACGGAGGGTGGACCCGAGGGTGGGGCCAAACACAAGGCCAAATGAGAGGCTCTAAGCGAAAGCTTGGAGGGTCCCCCCAGGTTTGGCCTTGTCCTGTTGCCTCGCACACGCCGTGAACTTGGCAGCCAGCCGCTTGCACTTGGCGACTTTTGATCCGACCATTTTTAGGGGCCAAGTTTACAAAAGTAGTTCCCTATACCTCCTCTAGCAGGCTTCAGGCGAGGCTTTATCGCACCATGCGGCGTGGAGGGGGATTCAGATGCAAAAGACAGTAGATACACTACAGCGCTGTGGTGTCGCCATACCCACTCGTACCGAGTTGCAGGACAGCTGCGCAATCCCATGGTAGCATGCCCCATCTCCCATTTGCTTGAGAGGGCATCAGTTGAAAGCATGTCGGAGATGTCACAAGAAGTCAGGAAAGGTGGGCCTCCATGATGAACGGTATATCCTCAGGCACAAGCGCGACACAACTTTCTGTCCCGGCCAGCAAATGAACTCTGATAAGCGCCAAGGAGGCTCTCACAGACACTTCAGACAAGTTCTGGCACGGGACCGCTAGCTGCTCATCCGAGCTCGTCATCCGAGCTCGGAAGTGGTGTCGCATGTCGATCACGAGTCGATTCCATGCGCTCGTGGCATTTGCACATCCGGGTCGAGGCGTTTGAGGCCAATGCCTCCCCTCTGAAAGGTGCAGGCCTCGACGCTGCCACAGCCACACTTCTCGTGGTCGCTGCCGACTTGGCAGAAGGCGGGCGCATTGGGTCCAGACTTACCGTGTGTTCATGCCTAGTTACTCTGGTTTACGGGGAGAGAGGCCACGCTGCAACACTCTGAACGTTCTCAGAACTGATTTGCTTCTTTCAACGTGTGCCATGTCCGAGCTGCCTGCCATTCCAGTCGGTTTTGAAGTAGTGCAGCCATTCCGACCCCTAGACTTTCTCAGGGCGTTGTGCCCTTTGTTGCGATGTGCCAGGTCTCGGCGGCGTTTTATGACTGGAAGCAGAGCTTTTTGGCCACCACAGATGAGGCTCCCCCGGGGTTCACTCTGGGCTTTACAGCCTTGGACTTGGCTTACAGGCTGAGATGTAAGTTGCAGGTCTTTGAATGTGTACTTTTGCTTTTCATCATGGCCTTTGCAGGTTAGAGTTGGTCCATCATGGTGAGCTTGTAGAGGGCCGGGCTTCTTCGAGAGATGGTGGCCGACAGGCCTTCATCCGCTCAGAGATCAACGGAAGGCGAAGCAGACGCATAGTGCCCTGGGAGACGTCAGGATGGTCAATTCGAGAAAAGTTGACATCATCAGTGCGGCCGGATGGTTGTATCATCTCGCCATGGCATGTGCGAAGACCCCTGGATTATGAAGCTTGGGTTGATGTGCAGAAAGAATCCTTCGATGATAGCAGGTCGCTCAGGACGGCAACAGAAGAACAGAAGAAGAGTTGGCTCAGCGAATTCAAATCAAGGCAAGGGTATGCCAGGGTACATGGACAAGCGTGGGCATGTTGAGGTACTGTTTGCTTTCTTCTGCGCGGATGCTGTAGGAGCCGTGCCTGAAAAGAGCAGCTCAGCAAATGCCTGAAGTAGTACTGAAGTAGTCCTTTGCTTTTTGAGGAGGGGCTCTTTGGGCTTTCTGGTGCGAAGACGGCGCCCGCCACAGCGACATTCCCCTCGAGGACTCGAGAATCTGTAACGGCGACTTCTGCAATGCTTGGCTGGTGTGCCCCCTCCGGCAGTGCAGGTGCAGTAGGATGTTCCGAAGGAAGATGTCCGAATCTGTATGGGTGCCAGGAGTCTCAGCACTATGCGCGATCTGCATGTCGATCCTTTGGCGTGAACCACTACCTGCTCTGGGGAGGAGGTGACCCGGCCTGAACATGTTCCCATACCCATCTCCAGCCCCAGCCTATTCTTCCATGTTTGTCCTTTGCTCCAAGGCATCCCCTTGGAAGGGCTAGCCGTGAGCTGAGACTTTGCGCAAGTGTTGTGTCAGACATTGATGCCAAGCAAAAGCAGCTCAAGGTTCTTTGGATGGCTGGGCGTGATCCCTGGTCATTCTGGTTGGGACCCCGAATTCTTTCCCTTACTCCCTGGCTGAGCTGTGCGGAATGCATGTGAGGCCCTGCTTTGTTGGTGCACCCATATTCGACCTTGGATGCCTGCGCCTGTCGTCGTAGGTCTGATGCGTGGCTGCTTCCCGTGTGGCTGGTGAGGCATCCGGGGTTTCAACACTTCCGAACCACATTTGAGGATGCATGGGAGAGGGTCCGTCATAAAGACGAGCCCTGTTCTGCAACGCTGTTCTTCTGATTCTGGAAGCATTTATGGTTTTTCTACAGCCTGACAAGGCAAAACCTGATCTGCAGCTGTTGGGCTCTTCGCTGCTTAGCTAGTCGCTGGTCCTCTTTCACATCATGAGCCGCCGCGCTGGATCTGGCTTCCTGGTGCTGGGCGCCCTGGCCTACCTGGCCTGGGGCCCCAGCTTCACTGGTCCGGCGCTGAAGACCGACAGGCAGGAGAGCGCTGTGGTCCGCATGGCTGGCTCCTCCAAGTGGGTGAACCCAGTGGATCCTGAGATGTCACACCCCAGTGGTCTGTACGTCCTTCCTCTGAAGCCGGCGAAGAAGACCGAGCCTTACGTCTACACCTGGCAGAAGGACGAGAAGACCGGTGAGCTGAAGGATTACGTGAAGACGCCTTACAAGGGTTTCGAGAGGGCCTCCCACTTCTACGTGAACCGCAAGCAAAACGGAGCCTGGGACCACTGGGGCCCAAGCGGCGAAGGTGAGGCTGCATGAGCCAGAAGGTAGCTTCGCAGACACTAGCTCAGCTGCTTTTTAAGCGAGACGCACAAAGTCGTTGTCTTGCTGACTGCCGCAATGCGGCATGTGCAGTTGCAGAGTGTGAGTCATAATCTTGCCTGCGTCGTCTGTGTCGTGCAGCATTGCATGTTGGGTGAGCAACTGGGATTGCCGAGCGTATTTCAGATTTGCTCCAAGTTTTTTTGGCTCTTCGCTGCTTGGCTAGTCGCTGGTCCTCTTTCACATCATGAGCCGCCGCGTTGGATCTGGCTTCCTGGTGCTGGGCGCCCTGGCCTACCTGGCCTGGGGCCCCAGCTTCACTGGTCCGGCGCTGAAGACAGACAGGCAGGAGAGCGCTGTGGTCCGCATGGCTGGCTCCTCCAAGTGGGTGAACCCAGTGGATCCTGAGATGTCACACCCCAGTGGTCTGTACGTCCTTCCTCTGAAGCCGGCGAAGAAGACTGAGCCTTACGTCTACACCTGGCAGAAGGACGAGAAGACCGGTGAGCTGAAGGATTACGTGAAGACGCCTTACAAGGGTTTCGAGAGGGCCTCCCACTTCTACGTGAACCGCAAGCAAAACGGAGCCTGGGACCACTGGGGCCCAAGCGGCGAAGGTGAGGCTGCATGATTGGCTTCAGCATGTAGCTGTAGCTGTAGCATCGACCAGCCATCCCGCACATCATGACCATATGCAGCGCTTTGATAACAAGAAGTGCATGCCTGCCGAAGTTGTTGTAAGTGTTGTACCTACTTAGGACAGGACTGTAACGAACTGTCAGACGCGGTATATTTGCCAGCTTGTTGCGGTAGCTTTCTGGAGATGTGCCGACAAGCACAGGCGGCAAGTATCTACCTCTCTTTGTGCAGACGTGACTTACAGCAATCTTTCAAGAGGCTGTCTTTTGCTTTCCGGATATGCGTTGAAAACTGGTCGGCAAAACGACGACATTGCGAAATGCAGCCGGCTCCGAATCATTTTTTTACCCCTACCTGCCTCTCGCTTCCCAAAAGATGAGCCGCCGCGCTGGATCTGGCTTCCTGGTGTTGAGCGCCCTGGCCTACCTGGCCTGGGGCCCCAGCTTCACGGGGCCGGCGCTGAAGACCGACAGGCAGGAGAGCGCTGTGGTCCGCATGGCTGGCTCCTCCAAGTGGGTGAACCCAGTGGATCCTGAGATGTCCCACCCCAGTGGTCTGTACGTCCTTCCTCTGAAGCCGGCGAAGAAGACCGAGCCTTACGTCTACACCTGGCAGAAGGACGAGAAGACCGGTGAGCTGAAGGATTACGTGAAGACGCCTTACAAGGGTTTCGAGAGGGCCTCCCACTTCTACGTGAACCGCAAGCAAAACGGAGCCTGGGACCACTGGGGCCCAAGCGGCGAAGGTGAGGCTGCATGATTGGCTTCAGCATGTAGCTGTAGCTGTAGCATCGACCAGCCATCCCGCACATCATGACCATATGCAGCGCTTTGATAACAAGAAGTGCATGCCTGCCGAAGTTGTTGTAAGTGTTGTAGCTACTTAGGACAGGACTGTAACGAACTGTCAGACGCGGTATATTTGCCAGCTTGTTGCGGTAGCTTTCTGGAGATGTGCCGACAAGCACAGGCGGCAAGTATCTACCTCTCTTTGTGCAGACGTGACTTACAGCAATCTTTCAAGAGGCTGTCTTTTGCTTTCCGGATATGCGTTGAAAACTGGTCGGCAAAACGACGACATTGCGAAATGCAGCCGGCTCCGAATCATTTTTTTACCCCTACCTGCCTCTCGCTTCCCAAAAGATGAGCCGCCGCGCTGGATCTGGCTTCCTGGTGTTGAGCGCCCTGGCCTACCTGGCCTGGGGCCCCAGCTTCACGGGGCCGGCGCTGAAGACCGACAGGCAGGAGAGCGCTGTGGTCCGCATGGCTGGCTCCTCCAAGTGGGTGAACCCAGTTGATCCTGAGATGTCCCACCCCAGTGGTCTGTACGTCCTTCCTCTGAAGCCGGCGAAGAAGACCGAGCCTTACGTCTACACCTGGCAGAAGGACGAGAAGACCGGTGAGCTGAAGGATTACGTGAAGACGCCTTACAAGGGTTTCGAGAGGGCCTCCCACTTCTACGTGAACCGCAAGCAAAACGGAGCCTGGGACCACTGGGGCCCAAGCGGCGAAGGTGAGGCTGCATGAGCCGGTAGGTAGCTGGACTTTTTGAGGCGCTCCGCTGGTGTGCGGAAAAGTGAAGGTTGCGTTGAATGGCTGCGGTCACCTTGGGAAAGGGATCTGTGAGCACTAAGGGAGTAGCATCCAACAGGTCAGGACTTTGGTGGCCTGGCACTTCATGTTAAAGAGATCAAAGTTCATGCGGCAATTGCATGGACCACCCACACAGCTGTGCAACGGGATATCAGAGTTTTATCCAGCAGCGATTCGATTTACACGTCTACGCTCAGCCATAATCTTCTTCAGGCTTGGCCTATTGGACGTTCTGCTGTGGAACGTACCTCCGCAGATCCTCGTGGGCGATGCCTTGTGGCTGCTTGCAAGCACTTCACAACATCGAACTTTCCAAGCCTTGAACAGCTTCATGGCCATCTTTGTGGCCTTGAGTGGAGTTCGAGATGTGCTCTATCCGTGACCTTTTGTTGAGAGAAAGAAAGAGCACAGAGACGCGAGTGGGGCGCTGCGCCCCCACACCATAGCTTAGAAACTGAGCCTGACCCGTTTGTTCAAATACACTCATTTGCCCACCTAGACCTAAGAACCTCAGCCACTTTTCAACTCTTGCCAAAATGGTGGGTGGATGTTTCACTTGGACTCAACGTAACAGCGGGCCGTAGTGGCCGGGGCCCCAAGGGGTCTCTCTGCTGGCCAGAAGAAGGGCTAGGCCGGGGGGCGGGGGGGGTGCTCAAAACACAGGATGTTCTGCCTGGGAAACTTCACGGTGAGAAAGACAAGAGCTGGGATCATGAAGAAGGGATGCAGATTGTGTACTGAGGTCGCTCAAATTCGTCCTTTCTCTCTCTCTCCCTCTCTCCCTCTAACTCTCCCTCTCTCCCTCTCTCTCTTTCTCTCCCTCTCTGTCTCTCTCGCTCTCGCTCTCGCTCTCGCTCTCGCTCTCGCTCTCGCTCTCGCTCTCGCTCTCGCTCTCGCTCTCGCTCTCGCTCTCGCTCTCGCTCTCGCTCTCCCCTACCTGCTTGGCTGAGGTTCTCCGCCATTGCCGTGCCTTAGCTGCACCTTTTCTGCTCTGTTTTTTGTTAGCTCTTTTCCGGCAGCGACAGTTTTCGGGTGCCGCCTCTGTAGAAGCAAGGAGACCGGGACCCCAGTGTTGGGTTGCTCCAAGAATCTCAGCCGCTAACAGCTGTAACCGTAGCTTTTGCTCGTGCTGCGATTGGAACCCCTCGTTTGCAACCTTCTTGTCTGGGGCGAAACAGGACGCGGGGGGAGCTCGTTATGGTCACCCCCCCCCCCCCCCCCCCCCCCCTTGAACCACCCCCACCCAAAGACCTGCAGCTGATGTCAAAATGCTGCGCCCGAAGGTCCGCAAGAAGTGTAAACCCAAAGTGCAGATGATTTCTGCCAGGCGATCTGAGCTTACCAACCCCCCCCCCCCCCCCCCCCAAACTTCGAATCCCCTACCCGTCAGCCCTGATGCCTACGTTGACACACAAGCGCCGACAGGGGCTAGCAAATGTCGCCTCAGAGAGCAATGAGGTGATGTGCCGCGTGCATTCCGTGGTGCTTTGGATCCTGGTTGCTTTCGAAGTCTGCTCGCTGATGCTAGTGCTGGCATATCAAGGCCCATGCGCCTGCAAGTTCTATTGGAATGTCCGGGCACACCTAAAATCATACTCAATGCCTGAAGGCGGCTTGCTGGATTTCTTTGCCTTTGATCATGCTTCCCACCTGCACTAATTGGCCAAATGGCTAATCTCGCAAGAGTACAGATAGAGAGGGGCATGTTTTTTTTGGGCTCCTAGGTTCGGTACGGCATGTACAGCGCTCCCTGGCTGATTCTGCCTTGAGAGTTCTTTGCTTTTTTTGTGCAAGCGAGATGAGTGTTGTAATGAGTGTTCTGAAGGGCAGAATATGCATTCTCTTGGAGAGGTGGCCATGCTCATCATCATGGCCGGTGCGTACTTTCTGGATGCCGCTCTGCTTTCGTGAGAAACAGCGGCCGGTGATTCGAAATCGTCACCCGACGTCCAGCCTGTCTCCTTGGCAAGCGGCTTGCGTTCTGATGCCTGTCCATGCTCGACTTCTGGCATGCCATATAAGGAGCAGTCGCGCCTGCAATCCTTTGAGCAGGCCAGAACATCTGTGTGAGCGGCCATCAGCAGCAATTTTGAACCTGCTGAACAAAGCTCTAATCCTGTGTCAGGTAATGTCCCTCCAAGACCAGAATGCAGCACTTGCTGAGATGATGCTCCGGTGGAAGGCGTGTCCATGGGTTTATGCTCCGGCCTTGCTGCCCGCTGAGCTGGCGAGGTGCTGCCAGAGACGGAGAACAGCGGCCCTCTGCCGCAGGCACGTGGAGCTGGGATGCGCACGGGGAGTCATACGGAGTCATACATGGGCGCGGCGGGTGCTTCTTGCCGGAGGGTCCTCTGAATACTTCTGAATACTTCGAGAGCTCTGTCCATGAATTGAAGTGTTGCTCGGTGGAGGACGAGTCCCACTCCGGCAGTCCTGTGGGCAGCTTGTCCAGTTGACCTGACCTTAGATCTTCATTGCAAGGGTGCAGGCGAAACACGAAGAGTGGAGGTAAGTTGAGAAGCCGTGAATGTTGCAGCCGTTGCTACGCAGGCACAACGCAGAGACCTCCGCTGGCCACGTGCCCAGGGTTTCGTCTTCCATGTCTGCCGATGTTCGTCAGACATTGGAACAGCTTGGTATAGAAGCTCTGTCCCGTGCGTTGGGCAGCACTTTTTGGCTGATTTTGGCTTCTGATTGTGGAGTTGGGATGGCCTGTTGAATTGTCACGTGTGTTGAAGCCTGCCGGCGGTGCATCAACAGTGAAACCTTATGCTTCAAACCCTTAGTAGAGACCAGCGAGATGGGTGCTGCACCCAGTGGGCCCAGCCAGCTGGGTGCTGCACACAGTGGTCCCAGCGAGACGGGTGCTGTACAGCCAAAGCTCGCCGGCGGGACCCAGCTGCCGAGCCCGCCAGCGGCGTCCGCTGACGCCATGGATCTGAAAGTGCAGACGATCAGTGGCAATGTGCACTCGGCCTACGCCTCAGACCAACTGTGCGGGAAACATTGAGAGATCTGTAGAAATTCTGTAAACTGTAAACCTTTGGGACCATTGAGTTGTAGCAGCGGCTCTCTTTCTGCAAGCTTCCCAAAGGTCTCCATTTCGACCTCCGCGAACCTCCTGGCTCTCCACGAAGCCGTCGGGCTGGCACTGGACATCAAACCTTGGGAGCTGCGCCTCACCGCAGATGCCAGCTGCCCGCCATGAAGGGTAGGAGCCCTCACTACTTGTCGCTGAACAGAGGGAGCCATGCCAGAGCCTGCCATATCCCCGTGGAAGCAGTGACATGCTGAGGAGTCCTGGATTTAGCCTCTGAAGGGGAGAAGACATTGGAGGCTCTGGACATCAAGGAGGACAGGGTCGATTCCAGAATCGAACATGTGTTGTGGGTAGCAGTTTCGAGAAAAAGCCCAGCAGCGTGATGCAGGAGTCTGAGGTGATGGTGCTTCGGTGCAGCCCGTGTTTGCTGGAGACTCTTGCCGGAAGCAGATCCCAGCACTTCCCGGCCTTCACCACGTTCGAGTCTTGTGCATTTGAGCACCTGGCATTCTTGGATCGGGTCCCCAGTCCCATCCCAGAGTGCTGCTATTGGGAGCTGAGTTGCTGTTAAGATTGGACTGTCCGCACCATTATAGGAGCTTTGGGAATTTGGGAGACTCTCCCTAGGCCTGATGCTAGGCAACCGGTGCTGCTTAGAAGGACCCAGCGGGGGAGGCCTTCGCCCGATGCAGTGGAACAAAGCACCAGGACTGAAGCATCATTCTTCACATCTGCAGAGTCTTTCCGCGGCACAGGGGCGACCGGCCTGAAGCCCAGGCTTCGTACAGCCTGTGGAACCGAAAGCGAGCAAGTAGGGCGCAGTGTTAGCATGTGCTGCGTTAGCATGTGTTAGCATACGAGGAGCAGGGCTTTTGAAGCCCACAAGTGAAAGAAAAACAAAAACGAACAAAACCCTAAACCTAAACCCTAAACCCTAAACCCTAAACCCTAAACCCTAAACCCTAAACCCTAAACCCTAAACCCTAAACCCTAGACCCTAGACCCTAGACCCTAAACCCTAAACCCTACCTAAACCCTAAACCCTAAACCCTAATGTACTTGCAAATGCTCGTCCGCATAGCTCTGAGGAACCCCGGCCAAAGCTGCTACAACGCGAATTACGTCTGTACCGTGCTCCAGGCCGGAACCCCGACTCGCAAGAAGGAGCAGGAGTAGGAGGTCCAGAAAAATGTGTGTGTGTATATATATATATAGATATATTTATTTTCTTATTTTTTTAGACATGTGTAACAATAAAGGAGGCGGCCCCCTGTGCCAGGTTCGTCAAGTCGGCTGGGGCATGCTGGACATCGACATCAGTGTCGTGGGTGACGGGTCTTTGGGACGTCTTCAGACACCCGGGAGCTCCAAGCCACTCTGCTGAAATTCCTTCGAAGGCATGCATAGATTCCACATGGAACACGCCTTTCTTTCTGCGACTCTCTGTTCCTGTTAGAGCCGGGGCCATCGAGGCTCACCTGGAAGGGTTCGCCAAGGGCCCACAGAGCTCTTCCCATGGCTGTGGCTGGGCTTAAGTCGGCGCTCTCTCTGTTTCCACCTGACAAGCGGCCAACTCATGTGCCCCGTTGCGTACATGACCGGGGTGCGAGCTTGCTGCCGGAGATAGTCCTCAGGTAACTTTGGAGGTGGATCAAGAAGACCAAAAGCAGGGCACTATACGATTCGAAAACGTGCCGACGTCCGGAGAGGCGGGTGGCTTGCATGCTTGCGGGGGCTACCGCATGGTTATCACAAGCACTGCTACTTTACGTATGTTTTCTGATAAAGTTTAGTAGACGGCTCATGCTTTCGGTATTTGGAGTTCGAATCTCAGTCTCTTCGCTTCCGGACCGTTTTACGTGGATAACAGGTGGGTAGCTGTATTCCAGTGATGCATATCATCAGGAGGTCAGAGCCGTTTTGGCAAGCAAACCATTATCTTCCAAACTCAATTTGAAACCTAGCGTTGTTTACGTGCCTTCAATTCATTAGTTCTCGATCAATGATTGAGTAAGCACGCAACACATACAATGAATGTAGAGCGTTGGCAAGCATTTATTGCTTCTCTTCGAAAACCTTGTAGTACAATAACGTGAATTATGTTGTGTTCGTAATGAGATATAGGTCATGGCTAAGTTGCTGAATAATGGCTCTTTATTGGGGGTTTTGCTGAAGAAATCAAAAAGAAGAATTTCTCAGGCATCAGGTACTGCTTCCACATATTTGTTTCTGTCTATGTAGTAGAGAAATCTGGTGTCAATGTTACCTTCGCTCTCATTGGTGTGTCGCTTGTCCTTCTGCGTCTTGCAGAGCCTTATGCTTACCTGTTGTGGGGCCGGGCACAATGTCACAGCATGTTTGCCTGATGCAGGTGTCATTCATATACGGCGCAAGCGGCTACGACCCTCTGGTGTTGAACCTCGACGGCCGGTAAGTTTCAGGGCGGACTCCCCAGCATGCCATCACGTCCAACGAGACCCGGGAAGACGAGCAACAGCGGACGACAAGCCTCAGATCCCCTTGAGTCGAAGACAGGGCAGAACGGATGCAGCTGGCGACACGACAAAGGACAGCGTGGCGGCGAGGCTGAAAAAAGCGGTCCTCTCGCAGCTCAGGATCCTTGTCAGAGGGGCTAGTGGGGTAGCGATTTCTGATTTTCGTCCCAGGCCAAAGCCTCCCTTGCCCGATGGGCAGGCGCCGGAGGAGGCGCCCTCTCGGAGTCCTTTCCCCCCAGGTGTTTTTTCCGAGCATTTCCTGCCCCATGAGAGGCCGTGCCTCGGGCTCCCGCGTGCGCTTCGCGCTGCCTTCGCCGGTGCCTGCGGTGCCCACACGCCGGCCGCAGCGGGGCCTGGGAGGCGGATGGTCTCTACAAAGGGGGGGTGGTTTAGGGTTTAGTTTAGGGTTTAGGGACGTTTAGGGTTTAGGGTTTAGGGTTGAGCCCCCAAGCGTTCTTATCGGTGAGATTGGTTTTCTTCCCTCCGTGTCACAATGTCACACACCCATTGACACAACTGCAGCTTAAGAGCCGAGCCTCCAAATTGAAAAGGTAAGTAGAGAAAGGCAGAGACTGGCATTGAGCACCCCACCCCCCTCACCAGTAACCCTCATGTGTAATCACTTGTGTTTTGGTCTTGGCTGTGTGTCGCCTGTGTCCGAGGATTGTATCGCAGGAGCACGGCAATGCGAGTCAGAGAGAGAAGAGAGAAGGGAGCGGAGAGAAGAAAGAAGAAAGAAGAGAAGACAGAAGCGAGCGAGCGAGCGAGAGAAAGAGAGAGAGGGAGGGGGTCCTCTCAAGCGCGCAGCAGAAGGGGGGAGAGAGAGAGAGACGGAGAGGGAGAGAGAGAAAGAGAGACAGTGAGTGAGTGAGAGAGCGCCAACATCCTCCCATCTAGGCGTCAGCGCTTGTACCTGAAGCGGTGCAGTGGACAACTTTGGAACTATGACCTAGAAATACCTAGAAGCAATCACAATGGCTGGCTCTTCCTCCATGACAGGTGAGCAGCGAGCTCGAGATCTGCTGGATGTCATGGAGTGAAAAGAGACATGAGGGAAGTGCATCAGGGATCCGCTCTGCAGCTGGCGCAAGGCACGCCTAGGACCTAGGCTGTTCTTCGGCTCAAGCTGCGCGGCCAGTCGCGAAGTTTCGTGATTCATCTCGTCTCCGTGATGGCTCTGGGCATGAAGCCATATCCCGAGGTGGTGCTGGAGAGGATGGTGCCCTTTCCTGAGGGTTCCGTCAAGCGAGTTCGGGCTGGCGCGAGAAGAAGACTCATCTTGCCAGACCCACCTTCCAGACAGAAGATAGTGGCCATGGTCCTGAGTGAGAGGGGCCTTTCAGGTGAGGGCTTGGCGGGGGAGGAGCTATTCCTGGTCCCAGCAGAGCGCTTGGTTTCGGAACTCCGTTTGGCCCAGCTGTTAGAAGAGATTGCGGTGCAGTTAAAGGTCCCAGCAGCAGGACTGGCGCTCTTGCGGAAAGGGCAGGTCCTCGCCAGTAAGCTGCGCTGGAGTGCTCTGCAAGATTTCCTCCCCGAAACGGTGATGAGAGTCGACGTGAATTGCGATGAGGTTTTTCCACTCGTTTGCCGCAGGACTGAGGCGCGATATTTAGAACCTTGCTGTGGTGAAGGAACATTAAGCATGAACGACATAAAGATCCAAGAGCTGCCAAAAACTCTTCAAGCCCTTCATGAACACCGCCTCTTCGTGACAGACACTCCGGATGAGGGCGGGCACTGCCTGCTGAGCTATGGCAGGTCGGGGGTGCTGGCTATCGAGGTGGGGCATCCGCAACAGGATGTCTTTGTGCCCATCGGGTACTTCCCAATGGCACCCCTTTGGCATCTCCCTGCGAATTCCAGGCAGTGGGGGGGCAGGAACTTAGATGTTTGGAGCTGCAGCAAGGATATTCCGGAGATCCGAAGATTGCTTGACGCCCACGCATCTGAGACAGAGGATCGACCCCTCCCCCGCTACCAGATGGTTGTGGATCCAAACCAATTTGTCTATGACACAGCGGACGGGCCTGCCTGGGTGCCCTGTGAGTTCGATGTTGCCGCTGACGGCAGCGCCCGCCTTGTTGGAGGCCTCACCAGAAAGAGCCATGATCAATCTTCTTGGAACGCACGGCATGAGCCAATTAGGGCAACTTGCCATGCAGAGCAGTCTGCCGCATGCCTTGAGGCCCTTGCAGCCACTCTTCACCAACTTTGGCCGCGCGTGTGGCGCAGCCCGTTCTGCAGGCACCGCAGCTCAGCAGAAGCTGGGCAAGTTGGCGCAGCGCCTCCATGTGGTAGGTGTCCAGGTTTTCCTGTTTTCACGTGGTGCTTCGTGAGGCCGCGCTTCCGCTGCTGTCACGGCTACGTCGGCCGCAGCTGCTTCTTGACGAGCGCAGAATTCAGGCGGGTTGCTTTCCGAACCCATCTTTCCACGCGTGGTCCCTGTGGCGCGGGATTGAGCCTTGGTGAGAGGTGGTGTTCAAAGCGCAGCGCATCATAGTGCCAGCTGCGGGGGATGGCTCGGACTCGGAATATGTTGGCCTCTGGCATGTCGATGGCTACCGTGAGCACATAGCTGCGGTCGTGCTGTGCCATGCCTGCAATGCCAGCTGGTTGTAAGTAGTGAACCGGGAGTTTCTTTCCTGAAGAGTTTTTGTGTGTGTGTGTGTGTGTGTGTGTGTGTGCGCGTTTGCTGCGTGTATTTGACATCTTGCGGCACATAGGTATCTTTTGGTTATTGGTAGTTGTTATTGATATTCCTAAGTTACTACTACAATGTGGATGAGAGCCTGGAGGGCGGCGACATGGAGTTCTGTGGGCGGGAGCCGCTGGATGTCCTAGGTATTGGCGACTGCAGCAACAACTTTTTCAAGCTGTCCAAAGAACGCCGCTCGAAGCATCTTCAAGCCCTCTTACAGCCCCAAGAAGTTCAAACCCTGAACCCTAAACCCTAAAACCCTAAACCCTAAACCCTAAAACCCAAAACCCCAGCCCAGACCCTCGACAGGGCCCCCTCTGAAGCCCCCCCAAAGTCTACAAGGTCTCCGCTCCGCGCTGCGCTCCGATCCCAAGAGGGTGGAGAACTGCCGCGTGCCAATCTCCACGGGCAGCCTCCTAGTCTTCTCCAACTACCAGGCGGGAGACTCAAGGCCCTAGACCCTAGACCCTAAACCCTAAACCCTAAACCCGAAACCCTAAACCCTAAACCCAAAACCCTAAACCCTAAGCCCTAAACCAGGGAAAGGAAGGAAGCAGTGAACCCACGAGGTGACGCACCGGGTGCTCCGAATGATCAACCGTGGCAGCTCCGAGGCGTCCCGGGACTTTGTGGCTCTCTTCCTGGTGGACCCCGCGAAGCTTACTGTTGGTTAGTAGGGAACCATCTGGGGAAGGAGGCTACCCTATATGTACCCTTTAAGGGATTACATAGGGTACCCTATATATATACCCTTCAAGGGACTTCGAGGGTCCTGTATATGCCCTTTAAGGGGTTACTTCGGGCACCTCATTCCCCCGATTCCCTACTAACCAACAGCAAGGAAACCCCTCGTTCCGGCAAAGACGGTCTTGTCCCAGCAATACCTGCTCACGAGAACGCTGTCGCCGGTTCTGCCGCCGCCTTTGCCAGCAACAAGCTCTTACCGTCATTTTCCCTTTTTTTTTTGGGTGGGGGGGGGGGGGGGCGGGGGGGGGGGGGGGCTTGTATGTAGAAGAAAGTAGCTCATGACCCTGCTGCTTCACTGAGGAAGCTCGCAGAAGCGCGGAGCATCCTGGAGTTCTTGGGCTTGTCACGGACCACTGCCAGTGCAAGGCCCGTGAACATCAGCACCTCCTCTCCCCAATAGGAGTTGAGTTCGGGTTCCTTGAATTAATTAAGGGCTGACGCCGCTGCCGCCGACCCCGCAAAAGGGGCGGCCGGCTGTTTGGGATAATGTAGAGATATATATACACACGTACAAGCCCCCGAGCATGTCGGCATTGTGGCCGACAGAGCGCTCGCAGCCATCAGCACTGCAAAGTCGTGCATGCGCATGTATAGACATATATAGTCTTGTAGACGATGAAGTCCCACTCGTATGTACAGACGAAGAAGAAGAAGTAGTTGAGCGTGCCGATGCCCTTGTCGCTCCGCAAAGTCGTGCATGCGTATGTATAGACCATACTTTGCCCAGACGGGAGACCGCAGCTGAATAGGATGCAGACGTCTCCTCAAAACCCCAAAAGCTCATCACAAAGTGCAATCACTTCACCACACCATGTCGCCGAGCTCTCATGCGGCTCGCGCCGCAGCCCGCAGGGGGGGCCCAAATCAGGAGAGGGGGGGGGGGGTGACGAGGGGGGTCAGGGCTTGGGGTGGGGGGGGGTAGGGGGTAGGGGCAGGGGTCCCAGGCGCAGACCTTTTTTTGGCGCTTGGGCGGGTTCATGGCATACTGATTCTCAACTCTCCGAAAACAGGCCGCCCACAGCCCCCTCGCCAGAAACGGCCAAACTTCCAGCTGGCCGTCCTGTGCCCCTGGACACTGCTTTGCGGGGATTTCGTGTTTGTACATCTTCAAGAAGAAAGAAGAACATCCCTTACCCTCATGAGCTGGGGACTGAGACCTTTCACTTAGGCCCTCTTCCATATCCCCCCACCCAGGTGCAGGAAACCCTTTTGCATGGCGCCCACCCCCCCCCCCCCCTCACCCCACCCCCACCGCCTTGCACCCCCCCCCCCTCCCCACACCCCCCCCCGGCCCCCACCCAAAAAAACTCCGTTTTTTGGGGACTCCAACCCCAATGCGTGAGAAGCGGAGCCCCGATAATGCTCGTGATGCTCTCTGGGGCCTGTGGAGGAAAGGGGGGTGGGTCTTGCTCAGCAAAGGGAGGCACGGCTGAGACTCATCTCGCTTCAGATTTCAGACCTCCGTAGAGCTTCCAGTATCGTGCTTGCAGATGCTCATGGCTTGTGGCGTTTCACAGCCACTGGTGCCTTCCAAGCTGATCACAAGCTCATCGCCGACGGATCCTACCGTCATGGCATGTGCGGCCATAGCCTCCCACTCCCCAACTGAAATGCCTTTCCGTGCCCACTCAACCGCTGGGCCTCATCTTTTCTTGTGCGTCCCCCTGCGTCGAACTTGCGCTCCTGCGTGTCGCAAGCGGTCTTTGTGAAGCTACACGGTTTTGCCAGGAAACTGCGGAATAAGCTCCTCTTTGACCAGCTGCAGCCATCGGGGGAGTTCTGTGCCAACAGCAGCGTCGTGGCTCGGTAGCCTAGCGGCCTCACCGGCATGTCGCAGGGTATCACGCAGAGCACGAGCCTTGACGGTGTTTCTTGAGCTGTGTTTTGCTTCAGGTTGCAACTGGAAACGGCTGCTACACCATGATCGGATGGCTTCACAACCTGCTATCCGACCGGCAACCGCCCCGGGGGTTTGACAGTCTTATGGATGGAGTGAATCGTTTGGACTACGTGCGGGCTCTGAACCTGGCTCCTGAGCAACTGGATCGTGGACTCTCAGAGGTTTTGTCGCTGGCTGCTTGACGGCATCTGATTTATCACAACACCCACAACACCAACCTCTTCCCCACTTTTGCAGTCGGCGGCACGCACCAAAGAACATACATGTCTTTCCCGCCCGAGCAACAGAAGCTTTCCTTTGAACAAAAACGCTAACATGCCCCGCCTTGGCGCGGCCGAGCCGTGCCCAGATCACCCTGAACCGTCATCAGGCAGAGAGGGCCCATTAAGGGTTCATAAACCGTGCTGTCTTCTGTTGCAGGGTTGTCGATGTGGTTCGTCGGAGGCTAGGACCCTTCCCATGGACAACCTTCTGGGCCCCTTTATGGAACCCTTTATACCTCGAGTAAACTGCAGCTCATGTAACGAGTAGTTTGGTGCTGTCGTCGTTCCGTTGTGTACATGGGAGCTTCACGCCAATGCATCGTGTCGCTGCACATGGCGTGCAGTGGGGTGGTGTTCACTTGGTGTCGTCGCATCTGGATTCGGGTTGGTGAATCCCAGCAGATTTTGTAAGGTCTGTTAGATGGCAGCGATTAGCATTCGTAGTAGTCAGTGTCTAGATGCCTGGGCCTTGAAGCTCTGCCAGTTTTGGTTGCCGAGGAGTCTGATGATTTTGCGACGCGCCTGGCGTTGTATGACGCCTGTGCAGATGTGGTGGATGAGAGCTACGCCCTCTTGGACGATTGAGGGACTTGGCGCAAAACTGATGCGGTTCATCCGAGATCCTTCACGGAAAGATGTAGGACCCATGTAGGGACCCTAAACCCTGGCCCTAATGGTGCATGGCCTTGGTGGGTTTTGGTGTCAAGAGGCAGAATCGTGGCCCAGCAGGTATGGCCCCAAGCAAGCAGCGGTAGTGGTGCCAAAATGCGTCGCCGCGTCGAGCTTCTGGCTCAAATGGAAGCCCTTCATGTCATGAGAAGCTTCCCTCGGCACGATGCCCATACTCAAGCTCGTGGACACTGAGCTCAGCCATAGTCATGTCTTACCTCTGAGACCTGCATGCTGCGCATGCTTGGCCCCTGCACGAGATGCGGGCCGTCCAGGAGTCTGTGGCCAGGTCGCGGCAGGCTTGGAGTTGACTCCAATCAGGGCTTGAGTAGTCACATCAGCTAGCACCCTAAACCTGAATGGTTGGAGCTATGCAAGTCCACAGGCGGCCAAGCACAGCCCAGCATAATGCAGCGGGTTTCTTTCTTGCTGCTCCTCCGAAGCTTTGCATGGCCACATCAAGCTTGATCGGTGAAACCCTAAACATTAAACCCTAAATCCCAAGCCTAAACCCTAAACCATTAACCCTGAACCCTGAACCCTAAACTCAAACCCTAAACCCTAAACCCTAAACCCTTAAAATCTCCGACGCCCGCTGCTCCAACGGCCCTGCTTTGAGGCAGCTCTGGAGAAGAAGAACGCCCGCCTCGAGCAAGAAACGTTGAAGCGGCAGGTGTCGAGCTTAGGCCCTCTTTGCTGGGCCTTTTCCCTTGAAAGATTTCGGATCTGGGTTTAGGGTTTAGGGTTTAGGGTTTAGGGTTTAGGGTTTTAGGGTTTAGGGTTTGGGGTTTAGGGTTCAGGGTTCAGGGTTTAGGGTTGCGGTTGAGGGTTCAGGGTTAAACAGTTCAGAACTTTAGGTGCTTTCAAGTTGTTGTAGTGTTGTTTGCGGTTTGCAGAAGAAGAGAGTCTTGAATCCCAGGCCCAAGACCGCATCGATGCCCTGCGCCTTCAAAAGGCCCAGCTGAGTGTGGCATTGCCGAGTCCTGCTGAGGTCAGTTTGGCATACCTGAAGTCCAAAAACCCTAGACAACCCAAGAACCCTGAACCCTAAACCCGAAACCCTAAACCCTAAACCCTAAACCAACCACTCCTTGTGTTGGTCAGGAGCGCTGCCTCCAGGCAAGGGCAGATCTGATGAAGGCGACCACAACATTGTGCTACTGGTCAATCTTCCAATCATGGCCTTGGGCACTAAACATCGGAGCCACACAACAACAGGGAAACCTATAGGGATTTCATCTTTGAAAACTGACCGACAGTTTGCATGCTTCCGACCAGTTTGGAGCAGTCCTCACCAGGAGATCGATCTCGCCCACGAGCAGGAGGCCCTGACATTTCTAGAAGAGGCCCCCCGGGTTTGGCGGCCGATTTTTTGGTGGACGTCTGGGATTTGGCTTAGGCACGGTTTGTGGTCCTGGCTGTTGGCCCTTCGAGATCCTCGCGATCAAGACCCATGGTTTTTGAGTCGATGCAGTGCTGTGTTACTAAACACGGCGAGGCGTGGTTGCATTGGTCCGCCTCTGTAGCTCGCCTGCCAGATTCGCACGGATCCGGAGATGTTGATCTCCCATGATCGCTACGGTTCGACCCTACTCCACGAGGCTCGCGGCTGCACAAGTTCCATATCGCGCAAGTAGAATCTATCAGAGTTCATTTTGTTTTGGGCTCAAGTTGTCTGTTGCTTGGATGTGAAAAGCTTGCTGGAGGCATGCTCCCGTGGCATGAAGCAGCTCGCCTCAGCCGTGTTGAGCGCAGCCGAGGAGGCCTGCAAGTCTTTCAGGGTGTCGTTCTAATTTGGGGTTCTGTTCTTGTGGGACCTGTTTTCATGAGGTTCTTTCTATCACATAAAAGGTGCCTGTGCATGGCACGTACGTTAATTGACCAACTCCTAGATGGCCCACTTGCTTCACCTTGGCCTTGTCCCATCTCTACACCACGAGCTGCCTGCCGCGCGCATGCGAGCTAAAGATCAGAGAATTGACCAAAGCAAGGTGTAAAACAGAAGCCTACTAAGCCCAACCAAGCAGCGCTACGTGCAACAAGTGCAATGCGAGTGATCATGCCCGGTCTGACAGTCGTAGAAATCATCGCAACCACCATAGTCATGGGCAAATGCAAACAATCGTCATGGATAAAGCACGAAGCTAGGCATGATTCTGATGGTTGTAACACAAGTGTTGTTAGCCGTGCAAGTAGTCAGAGCAAAAAGAACTCGTCCAAGAAACCAACACGCAATGGCAAAGACTGTACCTCGAATACTTGTAAGACACTGCTCCTTCAAAGACAAGGAGGCCCGTTCAAAGATCTTAGATCCCCTATAGGGTCCCCCCTCGCCAAAGCTTTCGTTCCGGTGCGTAGGCCAGGCACCCAATTGCACGTGATGTCTCGGTTGGGGAGGGGAACTTTTTGGCCGCAGTGGGTTTCTGGATTAGAGGTGGGGGAAAGTGGTGTATTGGGAACCATACCAGCATGCGTGGTTTCTTGGTGTTTGGAAGGGCGTGAGCCTGTGTAAGGGTCCACAAATGAAGCTGAGACTTGGTTGCTAGAGGTTGCTAGAGCTCGAAACCCGTCTTACCGAGGGTCAGGGAAGTGTGGCAATCCTGGCAAGGTGGGTGAAGCGACGCAGGAGAAGCTGGCAGAAAAGCTCTTTCAGCGAGACTACCGTGGCCAAACGTCGTTGCCTCGGGGCCGCCATGCTCAGCGCCACATTCCCCCTGCCTGTCCCAAAGTCAGGGCCTGCAGTTCTATATCCTCCTTGGGAATTATCTGTGTTTATATATAACCAAAGAGGCTATTAACATATTATTTCATTAAGGTTCTAAGGGGAGTGTAGAGGTATGTTGTCTTTAAATGTACGTTTGCTGGAGCCCTGCGCACTTCTCAGAGCTCTGCGAAGCTCCCCGATCCCAGCAGCATATCGGCCCAAGTGGGCTGCCAAAAGCCATGGCTGACGCGCATCTTGCCTGAAAATCTGGGACAGTCATGGACAGTCATGGCTGCTTTCGAGAAGGTGTGGCTGACCCCTACACCCTTTCACCCCACACCTCTGAAACACCCCTCAGTCCTCAAGAGCTGCAAGACGAGGCTGTGCAAGAACAGCGATTCGGAAGACAGCTACGAAGGTGGCCTTTGTTTGAAGAAGTGCTGGATGCGCTGAGCCCTCGCACCTTGCAACTTGCAAAGTGCCTGCTTAACTCATTCGATCTGTGCACTCTGCATGCTATGGGACACATGCGGTCGACGAAAATACGGGACCTCTTATTTTGTTCCCAAACAGTAGTAAGATTCCCTTGAATTTGAGGACCCCAAAGAAGGTCCCTCTAATTTCGGAAGCCCCCCTTCTATCCCCGAATAGAATTCTGTTAAGGGGCCCCCAAACAGGGTACAGCTCCCCACATGAGTGTCTCATGGTGGGGTTTACGATGCTATTGGGATCCTATGTTAGGTGTCCCTCATGTTTTTCGGAAACCCCCATGTGAGAGAGCAGGTTCCACGGATGTGGAGGACCAGAGCGAAGCCGGGCTGTTGCTTGGCAGAAGGCTGTGTTGGGAAAGGTGCTTGACCCTGCAAGAGCTGCGGTTTAGGGTTTAGGGTTTAGGGTTTAGGGTTTAGGGTTTAGGGTTTAGGGTTTAGGGTTTAGGGTTTAGGGTTTAGCGAATTTAGCTGCAAACTTTGACATAAGAGATCTAGAAGCACTAAACTTATTGCCACCTCGCACTCAGCTCTCCTTGTCAGTGGCGGCATGTCTCAGGACCGGCGATGACTATGACCCTCCTCCCGTGCGTCCCTTGATCTGATGGGGGGTTTCCCGTTTTACGACGGTCAAAGGTTCAGATGCGCGTTCTAGGACAACCGACAGGAAGCGGAACAGCTGATGAAACAATTGCCAAGATCTGCCAAGCATCCTCAGCACCTCTGGCTGCCACGGCTGGGCCAGGGTGATCTCGAAGCCAAGGTATACTACTCCTTGCGTTTATGTTCATGTTCCAGGCGGGCTGAGTTCGAGCGGTCCCGACAACCTGCGTGGGCGATTCCGCCAGCTTGCTGAGATGCATGTCCTTTCTGCAATGAGCTGTGAGAATTTGAGACTCGTGCTTTTGCAGGGTTATGGAGCCATGGTTGGGATCCTTGGCAGGATTCTTTCGGCTTCTGATTCGGGTGCCCGCGAGAGACTTCGGACAGCCAAGGAACCCGCAGCATGCGCTGAAGCATAAGCTGGGCATCACCCATGACCAGGCCGCCGACTTCCAGGCCAGCTTTTGAGGCGGTTTTAGGGTTTAGGGTTTAGGGTTGAGGGTTTAGGGTGCTTTGGGCCATGGGAGTTTTGGAGTCATTGAAGTGGTGTTCACAAAGTGGGTTTCTCTATCTTCAGATTGGGAGGCCGCCTGAAATCCCTAAGCTTCCCTGAGCCTGAAACCACCACCGAATACTTCTCAACGCTAGACTCTTCTCATGTTTACGTGCTCTTCCTCGTTGGACTCCCGCGAGTCGTCCGCGTGCGCTTGCCAGGAAGCGACTGCAACCTTTCAGTTGGCCAAAATGGTCATGCGAATTTGCGTGGGCCTCAATACCGGACGCAGAGAGCAATGCTGCACCATGGGAGTCTGGTCGCAGGTCGACACTTCTTACAGAGTGAGTCACCCTTGAACAGAAGGCGTGCCCCTCGTCTGCCAAGGTCAGATAGCCTTCCTGGTGTTCACGAACCCTGCAGGCTGGAATACGGGTTCTTGACTCATTCGCTTCGACACGTCTTCAGTCTTAATTACCATCTTCCAAGACAGACTCTTGAGTGCATGTCGACAGTGTGGATTCTGTTCCTGATGTCAGCCTGGAGGCATTGTGTACACCTCATATGTACCTTGGCGAATTCTTCGTAATCTGCGTGCAACAACTGGGGGAGAACCTCCAAACCGTGTGTTTGCATTGCATTTGCAGCTGAAGCACACATGGCCAGTGTTGCGTGCAAAAATGCCTCCAAACCCAATTGTCTGGTCTGTCACGCAGTCGGGCATTTGCCCGTGCTTTGTTGTAAACGAGGTGGTGATGTTTGCCGCGCTGATGGTCCCCATGATCTTTGTCTGGGGCGCGGGCGTGACAGGTCTTTGGGTAGTTCGACTACAGCACGCTGGCGGCAAGCGTGTAAGTGTGGCAGTTTTTGTGTGGCTTGGCTTCCGGGGCAGCTGCGGAAGCCCCCGAGGTACATCCTGGGAGGTGTGGCGGTGGGACTCTTTGAGGGCACCTTCCTGAGCGTCATCAGCTCGCCCAAGCCTCAGCCCATCTTAGCCCACTCTAGAGCTTGGCTTCTGAACCCTAAACCCTAAACCCTAAACCCTAAACCCTAAACCCTAAACCCTAAACCCTAAACCCTAAACCCTCAGGCTGGGCAAGAACACCAAGACCTTTGCCATCATGGGTGGCTTCCTTATGCCCACCTTTCCTGGTGCAGATCACACTGAGCTGCTCTTGTTGGATCGGGTTTAGGGTTTAGGGAGGGTTTAGGGTTTAGGGTTTGGGGTTTAGGGTTTAGGGTGTAGGGTTTAGTGGGTTTAGGGTTTAGGGTTTCCTCTGAGGAGCTCCGCTGGGCTTCTTTGTGAACAACACAATTCTCGGAGCCTTGGCGCAAAGCCTCGCAATGCAGAAGATGGACTCACAGATCTGGCAGCATAGGGCCTTGAGGCGCCTGGCTCTCCTATTGCAGTACACTGGCTACCACAGCCGGGAGGATTCCTAGAGCCCTAACCCCTAAACCCCTAAACCCCTAAACCCCCAAACCCCTACCCCTAAACCCCTAACCCCTAAACCCCTAAACCCCTAAACCCCTAAACCCCTAAACCCTAAACCCCTAAACCCCTAAACCCCTAAACCCCTAAACCCCTAAACCCCTAAACCCCTAAACCCCTAAACCCCTAAGCCCCTAAACCCCTAAACCCTAAACCCTGAACCCTAGCAATATGACAGTTTCCATGCCTGCCGAGGACTTCTGTCCCAGGTGGGGATGCCTGCCTCTTGCCTGAAATCAACCGAGGCTGCATGCAACAAGGGGCCCCAGCTGGGAGGTCGTTCTGGGACCCAAGGGGCAAGGGGTTCTGCAATAAAGGGTGCCTGCAAAAGGGGGGGTCTCGAGGTGATCTTCTACTACATCTACAACGCGGCGTGCCTGCCGGGGACCCGGGGCTCCTGGGGGCTTCCCTCCGCTCTTGCGGAAGCTTTCAGCCCGATGCCTCACTTTTGGGGTCCCTGAGAACAAAACGGCTGAGTTCTTAATGTGGTGTTCTGCTTAGTCATCAAAAGGAAGGGGGGAGGTTGTTACCCCTACAACCCTACAACCAGACAACCCAGCTACAACCCGAAAGCCCTAAAGCCCTAAAACCCTAAAACCCTAAAACCCTAAAACCCTAAAGCCCTAAAACCCTAAAACCCTAAAACCCGAAGCGACCAGGCCCTTGGCGATGTGGATCTTCCACGCAAAGCGGCCCCGAGAGGCGCCCCGGCGTTTCCCCGACATCCCACATTCCGCCTTGTTGGAGTGTTTATCAAGATATATGTGTATGTAGATGTATAGATATATACATACCCCAAAGAACAATTACATTTTTTTTATATCTATATATCTATATCTATATATATATATATATATGTATATATATATATATATTTATTTATTCGTATATGTATGTATGTATGTATGTATGTATGTATGTATGTATGTATGTATGTATGTATGTATGTATGTATGTATGCATGTATGCATGTATGCATGTATGCATGTATGCATGTATGCATGTATGTATGTATGTGTGTATGTATGTATGTATGTAATGTAATGTAATGTAATGTAATGTAATGTAATGTAATGTAATGTAATGTAATGTAATGTAATGTAATGTAATGTAATGTAATGTAATGTAATGTATGTATGTATGCATGTATGTATGTATGTATGTATGTATGTATGTATGCATGCATATATATATATATGTACACGTATATGTATAAATATGTACACCCCTTCTGTTATTACCAGGGGCTCTAAGGAAGGGGTCAAGTTAACTGAGGGTCCACTGGTCATCACGCGCCCTCAGGTAGTGGCTGCGAAGAGCAAGGGAAAAGGCTGCGCAGTCTTCCTGAACTCCATGAAATGTTTCATGGACCGCCTTGGGACGATGTGTGTTTGACTAGCTTAACCTAGGGTGGTTTAGAGTTTCGGGTTTAATATGTATCTGACTGACCCTGGGTGCCTCAGCTTAGCTACTCGAGGGCTTAAGAGGTCTTTGGGTAAGTGAGCTCGGAAGTGGCATGGTCTCTGAATCTGCTCACAAGTTTCTGGTTCTTAAAGGAAGTAGGGGAACTCGAATGTTTTTAAAGGAATTCGAATGTTAGACGTGTATCACGGAGTGATTGCTGAGCCTCTAGGCCAGACGGGAAGTCAGCAGACCACAACACCCAAGTGGAGCCCGCTTTCAGTCATTTGCATCGAGTCGCCTGCCCTCAACGCTAAGCTTCCCCAGTCAGAGCCAGCAAGTTTGATGAAGGACTGGGTGCCCATGATGATTCCGCTGCTTGGCCAAGGTTCAGTTGGGAGTTGCTCTTCAACTAGCTAGGGCCTCTTTAGAGTTTTAGTCGGGTGCTTCTTGTAAGTTGTCCTCCTAAAGTCCCGACACCCCAAACCCCAAACCCCAAACCCCAAACCCCAAACCCCAAACACCAAACCCTAAACCCCTAAACCCCTAAACCCTAGACCCTAAACCCCTAAACTCCTGAACCCCTAAACCCCTAAACCTTAACCCCTAAACCCTAAGCCCCTTTCAAGCTCTCCTGGCCCCGAATCATGGGCCGAGGTGGTTCGTTGCAAAGTTCATTGGCAACTTCGTGCTGGAGGTGCCACACGCCCCCCCCCCCCCCCCCCCCGCCGGGCCCCAACCCCCCCCATCAAAGCAACGACACCGGCAAAAACATGTTGAGTCTAGGGGTCAGGGGTTTAGGGCTTAGGGCTACTTGTAGGGGTTTAGGGTTTAGGGTCTCTGGTTTGGGGGAGTCCGTGGGCCCCTTCGTGAGCCTTTGGCTTCAAAGCTGGCGGATGTCCCCGAAGGACGGCTTTCCGCTCCTCTTCAACACATTCAACACGGAGAAGGCCCCTTGTGCCCATGACGACACGGTGCACCTTGAACAGTTTGCCAAGTGCTTCCCGTAGGTTCCAATCATTGGCGGCCCGGAAAGCGAGGATCATCTGATCCCGTGACCTGGCCAGATCTGGCGTGGGTGAATAAGGGCAAATGCATCCCCACTGCCTAATAGACTTCCCGCGCAGGCAGCACGAGCACCCTTTTTTGCCACCCTCGGTGCGGCCTTAGGTTTTCAAGCAAGCGCTTCTACTTGCCCTGTTCTCCTGTCCTCGCCCATTCATTTGATCCCTCAAGTGCCTGCCTGCAGTACCTGAAGATTGTCTCTGTGTGCTTCTTACATAGACCGTGTGTTGAGCATCGGAGACCTGCAGTTGCTTTCATCTGGTACAAGTGCTGGCGTTCATGTGTTCCAGGGGTGTTGGTGCTGTGGAGCATCTCACATCTCGTACACGTGCTGGCATTCACGTGTTTCAGAGGTGTGTGTGTGTGTGTGTGTGTGTGTGTCTGTGTGTGTGCGCGCTGTTGAGTATCTCACATGTGGGGCTTGCTTGCTTAGTACCCGTGGTGGCATTCAGGTGTTGGTGCCGTTGAGCATAGCCCTGTTTGGAGATGTTGTTTGTCCGGTATCTGTTCTGGCTTTCATTTTCTCTAGGTGTTGGTGCTGCTGAGCTTCGCACTGGTGTTTGAGATCGTTCACTTGTCAGGTGCCTGTACCAGTGTTTACCCACCAACAGCACACACATATGACAGGCAAGCACTGGGAAGAAATGAACACAAGAGCAGCTGCCTGACAAATAGCCAGACTCAAGACATCTCAAGACGAATGTACGGTGCTGAGCAGGGAAGACACCAGGAAACCGCAGCATTCTCGACCGGAGACTCTGTCTCTCTCTCTCTCTCTCTCTCTCTCCCTCTTTCTTTTTGCCGCACACCCCGCGAATTTGCGTGGGATGGTATAACCGGCTGCAGGTTTGGAATCTACACCGCCTTGATCTGGTTTCCTTGCATGGCTGCCGGCGATACGATTAGTCGACGGGTGCCTCAGTTCTTAGACATCACGCCACTTGGCAGCCGTAGCCTTCAGGTGCTCTGAACTAGCGAGGCCAGTCACCCGAAATGGAAGGCACGGGACCCTCACTGAGTCCAGAATATCGCAGGGTACCGTCATTAAGCCCCAAAACTGAACCAAAAACTCTCAACCATCCAAAAGGTAACAGTGGGGAACAAAATCTGCAACCACCGCAATTCCAACCGAGATCGATGATTTCGGGCTGAGGATTTTCTCGGCTTGGGCTTTTCTCGACAGCGCAGCACAAGACCCGGGTTTGCAAGCCAAGGTCCAAGCGAAAGTGCGTCTTGCCCCTTGCCAAGCTTTGTTCAGCTCTTGAGGTAGTGATAAACGTTGCTGAGCTACCCGAGGTACTTGGCTTTTGGGATCTTCCTCTCGGTGGCGGGAGAAGCCCTCGACTTCTTACTACTCGCCCTCGTCACTGCCCTTGCCTCTCAGCAAGGAGTAGGTTTCTGGCCTCTCTCAGCAAGGAGTAGGTTCTGAAGGGGTGGACTGTCCGAGAAAATCTGATGCGACAACAAGGTTAAAAGGGGCTGAAGAGTGGATTGCTGTTTGCATCAGCGCGCTCTCCAGTTCTTCATCCCAGGCGGCCTTCATTGCCAACTTTGGCAACGGCTTCATTTACGGCCTGCCTTCTGGCTGCAGCTGGCCACAAATGCCCTCCCTTGCCACAACAAGGAACACGGCCGCGAGAATTACGAATCGTCATGGTGCAGTCTGGCGACCCGATAGCTAGAGCGTGTTTGAAACATCTAGAAGCTTCTTAGAAACTTCTTTTGAGCAAGCCGGAGCGGCTGGTAGCCCAACAAAGTCGCTTCTATGGAGGTGAAGGTGGCTGCTGATGGCAAGCATCGAGAGAATTCGTTTCCACGCCCCACCGCCACAAACCTTAAAGCCGCGTCGAAGCCAAAAACCATCCAAGCTACGCAGTTTGAACACCAGCAACAGGCTGTCAGACACGCGGTGCGTGATATCTACATATGTATATATGTATACATATATACTGCGCCGGGCCGATATTTCGACCCACCAACATCTTGGGGTTCTTACACCCATGCCCCGCCCTCTTCCCCATAGACTCCTGACACAATGGGGCTGGGGGCCTCCTCCGGAGCTTCTATAGTACTATATTTTCAAACTATATTTTCAAAACGGGGTATTAATTTCTCCGCTAGCAGGCGCAGGGAAAATGCGACTTTTCGGCACTCCGCGACTCCGCGCAAGTATGCGCCGTTTGCATGTTGTCCAACATGTGCCGTGGGTCGAAACTTTCGGCCCGGGGGGTGTACATATACATACACATACATGCAAAGTACTCATGTAGGTGTCGGTGTGTTAGGTATGCGTACACATATGTATGTATATCCTGTTTCTGTTTCTTGCTTTCAGTGGCGCCGCTGCCTAATTACATGCAAACTGCCAGTAGCTGTATGCACTCGCCCGAGAAGTAATCGAGCGGAGCAGCAAGCATAGAGGAAGGTTGTCTTTGCAGCACACGGTCTCTTCTTAAAAACCAAGACCATGGCCGTCATAGAAGAGTCGCTCCCGCCGGACACAATTGGCTGAATTGCATGGTGTTGGACTGAGAGCAACAGTAAGCCTACAAACGTGCAGGACATTCCTCATGGGTATGGACAACTACACACCCTAGATGCCTGAACACCTTCATCGAAATGAAAACCCTAAACCCTAAACCCTAAACCCTAAACCCCTCACATCCGGGTTGCCCGAGCCGCCCGAGAACGTTGGGGATTGTTGCTTGGGTGTTGTCCTGAACCCTATAACTGCCTATAATGTTTAGGGTTTAGGGTTTATAATCCTAACCCCTATAAACCCTAAAACCCTAAAAACTCTGGAAGCCTGAAACTCTGAAACTCTAGACTGTAGAACCGCAGAACCCTCAAACCCTAAACCCTAAATCCTACATAAACCCTAAACCCTGAACCCTAAACCCTGAACCCCGAAGTCCTTGAACCCGGCAGCCTTCAAGACGACCGACTTTCAAGCTTCCAGCTGCGGACGCCTTCAGGCGTAGCAGTTGTAGCACCGCCGGGTATCCAGCCTTTCGGATTCCTGTGCAGTGAAGGGGGGCCTCCAACTCCACGCACGACTGGGATCCCTAGCTCATCGCGAGCTATGCTGGTAAGGCTCGATCCGAAACCCTATGTATGTTTGTATATATGATCTCGAGGCTTATTCGATGTTTTGGACGAAAACTGCACTCTCGCCTGGGCTCCAGGATGTCCGAGCTCGCCGTCCTCGAAACTGTCCTGGCTTGTCCTTATGCGCCAAATGCGAAACTGTCGTCGCTTTGGACGTCCGTGTTCGCGTGCGAAACAGTCGACGCTTTTTGACGTCCGAGTTTGCGAAACGCGAAGCAGTCGTCGCTTTTTGACGTCTGGGCTCGTGCTGTCTCTCAGTGTTGGACTACCGTGACAGAATATTCGTTCTCTCTTCCTAATGTATTTATTTCATTTCTTTCTCTCTTTTTTTCTCTCGTTTTTTCTCTGTCGTTTTCTCTCTCGCTCTCTCTCTCTCTCTCTCTCGCTCTCTCTCTCTCTCTCTCTCTGTGTCTCTCTCTCTCTCTCTCTTTCGGCCAGTCTCTGCCTTTCCAATCAGAGACCTCGCAACGCAAACTGGATCTTTGACTTCCCTTTGCCTCAGACTACGATCTTATATAGCCCCTCAAGCCAAGAATGCACCCAGCTGACATAAAAGCTCCATCATGTTTTGTCAAGACCTGCATTCGTTCCTGCTTCGATGCCAAAATGCCCTTGGAGGGCAAACTCTTGGCATACAGTCCTCTCACTGTTGCCAGATCTTCTGGCCAGAGCAGGATGCTGCCCCCCCCACCACTCTCACGAAAGCGCCCTCGAACGAAAACGCGGCTCACATCACTTTGCCACTTCTCCGGTTCACTACGGCCCACCCTACGAGGTTGCTGTTGCCGAGGTTTCGCTTTGGCTGTTGTTAACCTTGGCTAGAAGGACCCTGAACCCTGCTGCAAACCCGAAACGGCCCGGGAGTGAACCCTAAGCCCTAAGCCCTAAACCCTAAACCCGAAACCCTAAACCCTAAACCCTTATTTTTCAGGTCGGCAAAGTTCATCGACTGGGGCATCGCGGAGGAGCACCGGTACGCCGCGTACAACCTGCTGCATGGCTGAAACCTTGTCAGGGCTTCCCGTAGATCGGGGCTTGTTGGGGCTTACTTGGGCTTACTGGGGCTTGTTGGGCTTATTTGGGTTTGGGGTCTCGGGCTTGAATTCGAAGCCCTACCCAGCCTTGGGCTAAACGCGACACTTTGTACATTTGCAGATTCTTCGTCGTGTCTGCTTCAGCAGGGCGGCCCATCGGAGAGGGAGACAGAGAACCACATCTGGGGGTTTACGAAAAGGGGACCCTTGAAATACTCCATCCCCTGACAATCAGGATCCCAATAAGGTCCCCCCCCCCCCTTCAATATCGTAACCCCCCATATGGTTGATGCCAAAAAGCTCACCCGCAACCCTGAATCCCAAAACAAGTGGCGCTGACTGTGGGAGGTGGTGCTTTGTGGGTGACGTCGGTGGCTACGCTGGCCAGGGACAACTCTCAGCATCTCTTTCTGCATTCTCCTGTTGTTAGGTTTCGGGCTTTGGAGGTGTGCCGATAGTCTTGAATGCGGGTTTCTACAGACATGATTGAGGCCGCTCTGTTGGCAGATATTGTTTTTGAGTCGGAGGGGTGTTGAGAGCGTAGCAGACAGCTATAGAAGTCCTCAGATTGAACCTTGGCATCTAGCCGCGAGGTAATGTTGGCGGACAGTGTCTGCGACGGGCGCCACTATGCCTGGGTGTGTAGCGCAAGCCGCCTGCTGCGTCTGCTCTGAGGACGCAATCATTTCCGCGCGAGAGTTGCCCAAATCCAAAGTTGATGGCACATGATTGTGTTTCGGTGGCCATGGCGAAGCCTACATCTGTCGGACACAGCCTCATATACATCCCAGCGCAGTCCCGCTGCTGCAAATGCTTACTCCAAAAAGGCGGGATGGGTGATATGAACGAAGGCGCTACGATGAGACGCTGCATGTCCATGGACGATGGCACGCTCATGAACCAGTTTTTCGCCAGTACCATTCCTTTGTGCCGGGGAAGTGTAGCCACTGTTTGACACTTGTTTCGCCGAGTCCTCTTCATCGCGCCGCAGCCGCCGGAAGTGGCGAGGCCTGTTTGCCCATGCGGTGGCCTGCTGCAGCACAGCCCTGTCTGTTGGTGAAGCCTGTTACTTTCCAGACTCCCTGAACCCCCTGAAACGCTCAAAACCGAGAGCAAAAAGTAGGAAGCAAAGATATTTCTCCTTGGAGTGACTGAAGTTGCCTCTCCCGGCTTTTGACAGATTTGTGCGGAGCTCTGCAAACAGCGCTTCTGCCGGCCAGGCCGGCGGTAGGAGACCATGCCACAAAACCTCTCGTGGCCTGATCTGCTTGCCCTGGGTGCTTTTTGGCTTCGGGAGTCCTTAACTTAAGGGTTTAGGGTTAAGGGTTTAGGGTTTAGGGTTTAGGTTTAGGGCGCAGGAGCCTGCTCCGTCAAAGCTGGCGGTCTTGGAATTGCCGAGTGCCCCCGTTGTGGCAGGCATCCGCGATCTTGACGGGCGAACGGCGTGGCAGGCATTTAGGGGACCCGAACCGCCACAAAACACTGCAAGGCCATCCAAACCCACAAAAAGCCCTTCGGGGTTTAGGGGTTTAGGGTGTGGGGTTGAGGGTTCAGGGTTTAGGGTTTCAGGGGTTTAGGGTTTGGGGTTTAGGGTTTAGGGTTTGGGGTTTGGGGTTTGGGGTTTGGGGTTGGGGTTGCCGCCCATCCCCCCCCCATCCACCCCCGCATCTGCCAGGTGGCAAGCTTCTGGGGCTTCGACTCCGCTGCTGACTCGATCTTCAGGGCACGCCCCCTGCGGCTTCGAAGCATGTCTCTTGCAGCCCCAGCATGTGAACTCTGACTCTGAGCCTATCGGCAGCTTTGCTAGACAAGGGGTCCTGCAGAGTTGGCTCAAGCTTCAGTATTCTGGATGCAGCAAAAGGGTTTCCTTCAGGAAGCTGATGTGCAAGTATCGGGTTCTGGTTTTACCCCAAGGAGCCAACGAAGAATTCTCACCTCCAGACTCACCTCGTCAAATTCCTGTAGTGGCCGTACGGCACACTGTACGCAGTCTGCGGTGCAGCCCGTTTGCGCGCGCGCGCGTGCCAGCGCCAATGGAAGGATGTTGCCCAGGTGGTTGGGTGCTCAGTATTGCTGGCAAATCCGGGCTGAGGGAATATGAGCATGGCCTTCACCTGAAGCATGTCGTGGATGCAGTTCGCCATCGCCTGCCTAGCCTCAATTCCAGAACCTCCAAGTCCCTGCAGATCTCCCAGGACACGCGGCTTGCACCAGCCTAGCGGACCTCCAGTCGATCCCCCGGCCTGTTTGTTGGCTGCTGCTTTTCCTTCAGTCAGCTTCATCTTCCTGGCGTGCCCAGTGCCCTGAAGCCATCTTGCCCTTTGAGCCCGAAAGCGAATGCATTGAAGTCTCATCTCCCTAAAGATGCAGAGCGTGGATGTTGTAGCACGGGAACTTACACCTAAACACGCTGCGGACGGGGCCACTCCGCTTCATTGAGCAGCTCCTGTGGAGAGAGAAGGCTGTTGGTGTTTCGGAGTATTGATTGCTAAGCCCTAAACCCTAAACCCTAAACCCTAAACCCTAAACCCTAAACCCTAAACCCTAAACCCTAAACCCTAAACCCTAAACCCTAAACCCTAAACCGCCTAAACCCTAAACCCCAAACATCCCCCACACCTGGCACCCACAGCCCCAAAGCGCAGCGATACCGCTGCCAGGTGTTTGGTCCAGTTCAAGACGGAGCTCCTTCAATTTCGGGAGAGCCGATGGCATCCATTGTTGGGGGAGGTTGAACGGGTCCTATAGCGGTCAGTCTTTCGGGTGTAGGCTGAAGTGAAGGGATTGCAGGGCTTCTTTGCGGGGTGGGGGGGTGGGGGGGGGGCTCAGGGTTCTCGATGGTTCTACGCGTTGCGCCAGGAGCTGCGGCTCAGACGGCAGAGCAGCTTTCGGAACTTCTTGGAAGAGGCTGAGCCATGTTCCACCATGTTCCACCTTAGACCCTAAACCCTAATCCCTAATCCCTAAACTCTAAACCTTAAACCTTAAACCCTAAACCCACCATGTTCCACCCTCACAACCCCGAAGCCCTTGAACCCTCGAAGCTCAGAGCCTTGGGGGGGGGGGGGCTCCTGATGCGCTGTGCAGGCTGCCGTCGTAGCAGCGGACAAGCCTCGAGAGCAGGCCGACGTTGTGGACGTTGTGCTTTGGGGAGCTTAGGGAGTGAGGGTTTGGGTTTGAAGGATTTAGGGAAGGCTTTAAGGCGTTCTTAAGAGTCATGGTGGCCTTTGTTGCTGTTTCGGAGGATGTGTTGGCTACGGATGCCACTTCGAAGCAGAAATTAGAACACTATTAGAACCTTCGGAACTTGAGGCTGCTTTGAAGAAGCTTTGCAGGTCCACGCTATGTCACTGACGACAAGCACAGGCCCACAGTGACTCTCATGTTCCTGAGGGTCCCTGTCCATCCGCAAGCCTTGCCTGCTGACAACCGGACAGGCTTGCTTGAACCTCCAAGACAAGAGGACGAGGCGAAGCACAATTGCATGTCGAACATCGCATAATCATCATAATTCCGGTGCGTTTCGACTGGGGAAGAATGGCACTCACTTGAGATGGATTCTGTGGCGGAAGCTCAGGCCTCCGACTGTGAGACAGATCCCGGCATGTGCCAGCCTCATCGAGCGCACGGGGTGCTCAAGGTTCAAAGGTCTTCAGCTTGGACGAGGTTGCAAAATGTGGACCATTTCTGGGACCCTAAACCCTAAACCCTAAACCCTGAACCCTAAACCCTAGACCCTAAACTAAACCCTAGACCCCAAACCCTAAACCCTAAACCCCAAACCCCAAACCCTAAACCACGGCCCAGGCCAGAGTTGCAGCCCGTCACGCCACGGGCAGTCGCAGAGGCTGCCTTGGCCAAAAGCCCCGGGGCTGTGCTAGAGCCAACTTTGCCCGCGGAACCTGTTATTGTTAAGGCCCCATGTTCCCCACTCAATCCCTCGACTTCGGGACCCTCACATGTTTGTCTGAAGCCCCTCAACCATTGTCTGAAGCCCCTAAACCCTAAACCCTAAACCCTAAACCCTAAACCCTAAACTCTAAACCCCAACCCTAAACCCTAAACCCTAAACCCTAAACCCTAAACCCTAAACCCTAAACCCTAAACCCTAAACCCTAAACCCTAATCCCTAAACCCTAAACCCTAAACCCCCATCTTAAAGCCCAAGAGAAGCCCCCAACGAGCGCACAGGTGCCATCGTCGCAGCCGGCGACTGGCGACTGCTTGAGCCCTGGGGTTCACAGGGGGCCCTTGGCTCGCCAAGAGTCCTAAGGCTTTATATGGGGTTTAGGGTTTAGGGTTTAGGTTTAGGGGATGTCCGAAAATAGGGGGTGCCCTTTGTGGGCGTCCCGTTAAGGGGTATAAAAGGGGTACACCTATCTTGGGAACTAACCATATGGGCCCCACCGGTATCTGTTCTTTTTTGTAGGAAGCTGTGAGTTGCTGGGTTCAGAGCTAGGTGATCTCGTAGTGTTTGAGGGTGCCCGCCCCCCCCCGCCCCCCACCATGGACGATGAGTTGTCTCAGTACGGAGCTGCCTCACTCCCGATGCACGAACATCGTTGCCGTGCCAAGTCTCGCCTTCTGGTGCTGCTGATGATAGTCCGGACAGGCTTCCTGAGGGAACCCGCAAGGGAAGCAAGGTATTTCTTGATGTAGCGTGCGTTCGCAGTGCATGTTGATTCCGCTTGCCACAAATCAAAGATCTTCTCACTGCACGTAGCTGCTGTAGCTTTGGTTCCATGCACCCATCAGAGAGCAGAGTAGTTGCGCAATACCTGCAGCGACGCTGTGTGCAACCTTTTCTCAAGCAGCTCCCGGTCAGGCTCGGGGACTCCGGCGGTGACTTCAACAAATGTTGGGGAAGGACTGTCTGGCAAGTGGGGAGCTGTGTCAGTTTGGCGAGGTTGGCTCAAGGTCCAAGACGCAAGAAGCCCCGATCGTACTTTTTTCTGACAGGAGTGCCTTGAAGGACGCCTTGAAAGGCCGGCAGAGCGGCTGATCCTTCCAATCAGTGGAAAGAGGTGTCCTGGGGCCCTCCAGTCTGCCTCATTGTTTTTGGAGCGTTTGGCTTCGGAAATATCAGCACTGCGCCATTTCTCTTGCGGTAGTGCATTCCTGCAGGTATGAGCTCCGCGCACGATGCCTGAAAGGCAGAGGCCTCCCTCCTTCGCGGATTGCAGGTTTTGTTTCGCCTGATTGCGCGTCACAGACTCTGTAGCTCACAGAGCGGTCTGCACTTCGGGAACTTTCCTACTTCGGCTGCACATGCAACCTGCACGCTGCAGAGTGTACGTGTGCCGGCAGGCCGGGCGAGAACGCTGTTCAGTGGCATGAGGTCAAATCCGTTCTTTGAGAATTCGTTTAAACTTTCGGGGTGAATCGCAAGATGCGTGCGGCTTCTCGCCGACTTCTAGGAAAGCAGGCGTTGCTAGGGTCAGGTTCAACAGTATCACAGTATCTTGCAAAAGGGTTGCGAGCCCACACGCAAATTTTCCCTTGTGGCACCTCCACATCCGAGCCTGCTATGTGACAGCGCAGAACGAGCGTTCTTCAGATTCAAAGAAGCCATGGCCCTGGGGCGAGGGCTACTGCCTGCACATAGCGAGCTCGTAATAAACAGCCCCTGGAGGGATATGGCCCCAGATGTTATGCGCGAGCAAATGCTACAGGAGAGGGCATGTTTTGGCATGGCCGTGGCTGGGGGTGCCTGAGCAGATATGATTCTTTTTGGTCGTAGTCGGATCCCCCAAACTTGTGAGATAGTCCAACGCCTAGGAAAGCTGCCACTTGGGCGGTGCTCGGTCACCTGCCATCTGCCGAAATGATGTTCCGAAACAGGACAGGTCTCTGAGGGCGAAGGGTTCCTGGAAAGCATTCCATCTTGAGGACGCTTTCCTGAACCCTTCCGTTTCACTCTTCACCCCATAGTCTGCGAGCCACCCCACAACAAGTCAAAACCTTTTCAGCATTGGACTGCGCTGGACTGGCCTTCGGCTGTTCCATGTGGTGGTTGGCGAGGCTATCCTCATCTTTTATAGCTCTTTGTGGTGACGGGCACGAGTCCCTCCGATTTGGTGTACTATTCGGGCCATGATGGCCTGATGCTTAGTGGCGGCTCCCTCGTGCTACGGTCGCAGCGGCTGTTGAAGAGGCTCGAGGAAGGGTCGCAGGCATCTGGCCAATACCGCCTCAGGTTAAGTTGTGATAGAGAAGCTAGCTCCACAAGTTCCTCATATGGTCGGGGCAAGCTTGAAGGGGCCTGGTACACCAATCGGGCCTGGCACGATGACAGAGATCAGAACAGAGACCAGCAGAGATCAGCCTGAGGCTGAACACCTGGCTTCGCGGTGTGCTAGCTATGGGCTCAGGGTTGAAAAAATTACGATTGTTTCCAGGACGACGCGGTGGTCGCTCCCGAGATTTCTATCCATAGTCATAGTGAGGATTGCTATCTTTCAGGGAGTTCGAGGAGCAGCAGTCAACACACGTTTATGACCATTCGACATGTGCCAGTACTAGTAGGGGTCCAACAGCAAGTGTGACCTTTTGGGACTGTCAAGAAGCAAAACCGTCAAGGAAAGAGGGTGAGTGCAATCTACTCATAATGTACTCCTTGGCGCCAGCTCTACCTCTGAACTAAAACACCTGCTGGAGATGCACATCAGTGAAGCGCTGTCGTGAGTCTTTGCTTGCTTGTGCGGGACAAGCTCACCCGATCAGCTCCTCCACATTCAGACGTTTCGGAAAAATACTCTTAGGCCTTACCAGATCGCCCCCCAAGCTGGAGGGGCTGCCGGGCAGAGCACTATCATTGTACATTACATCGGCTGCGATGTTGCTTGGTCAGCAGCAGGCGCTTCCTGGTGTCGTGATGGCTTCGTAAACAGATACCATGCCTAGCTCGCTAGCGCTTGAACACTGCTGCATCGCTGCCATTGCAGACAGCAGACTAGTTCTTAGCACAGGTACTCGCAAAACGAGGCGAAACCAAAACGCATCTGTGCTGCAGCGCGGTGCAGGAGCTTTCTGCCCAGGAGCTTTTGCACATGGAATTGCTTGTTGAGCTCCTCATGTGTCGCAGGCACTCCACTACATCCCTCCGTTCCAAGCTGAATTCTGAAGATGTTTCCCGCATGTGTCTGTCAAGGCTTCTTTCTCTCAGAGGCTCCCACTAGGTAGAAAGGAAAAGAAAGGCTCTTCGAATCTCGAATCGGTGTGTCATGCGGTGTCGCATCCAGGTTGGAAGTTTGTCCATCCCCAAGCACCTGAGGCCGGATCTGCGTGTGGAGGAGGCGCAGGCCACGCTCTTGTTTTACACTCCTCCCCATGTTGGCATCGCCATCTGTACGGTGGCTTTCTCAAAAGACATGGGGTATGTAAAGGTGTGGGTGCCTCTACAGAGATGCCTACTATCTAGGCCCGCACGGTGAGCATCGTAGCTTGCAAACGTATACGCTTGTTGCACATGTCACATGTTGCTGAACCACACAATGCTTCATCATGTTGTTTCTTCGACGTGTGAGTGCATGTGTTGACCAGCGCTGGATGAGCTGCACCCGTGGGGCATGCCGCTATCCAGACATGTCAGTCTTCCAGAACCTCGAACTGCAGAAACCGTCTCACACAAGGATGATCAAGCGCATCCTAGTTGCAACATGCCGCAGCAATTCCTGGCACCGACTATTCAGGACAACGCCTCCGTAACAATCAGCAGGGTAAGCCCGAAGTTGGGCGTATTCAAGGCATGGTTCTGGAGGGTCTCCTTTGGTCGGGGTCCTGAAGGCCTAACCTTAAGAGGCTAAACCCTCAAGCTGAGTCGAGTAGACGGGGGCCTTTGCGGCGAGCATGTTCCCCAAAACCCTAAACCCCAAACCCCAAACCCCCAAAACCCAAACCCTAAACCCCTAAACCCCTAAACCCCTAAGTACGAAGGACCTTTATGTACTATTTGGCGTGTGGCTTGGCTTCTTCAGGCAGAACTTAGGAATTTAAGGAATTTAAAGAATTTAAGGAGGCCGGGCCTTAATTTAATTTTTTTTAAATCCTTAAATTCCTAAATTAGGGCTAATTTAGGAATTTAAGGAATTTAAAGAATTTAAAGAGGCCTAAATGCGTTAAATTCCATAAATTGCTAAATTAGCCCTAATTTAGGAATTTAAGGAATTTAAAGATTTTAAAGAGACCGAAATTCTTAAAATTCCTTAAATTCCTAAATTAGGGCTAATTTAGGAATTTAAGGAATTTAAAGAATTTAAAGAGGCCGAAATTCTGTAAATTCCTCAAATTCCTAAATTAAATTAAATTGGTTCTGGGCCGTAATTTAAAATTTTATAAATTCCTTAAATTCCTTAAATTCCTTAAATTCCTAAATTAGGGCTAATTTAGGAATTTAAGGAATTTAAAGAATTTAAAGAGGCCTAAATTCTTTAGATTCCTTAAATTCCTAAATTAGGGCTATTTTAGGAATTTAAAGAATTTAAAGAGGCCGAAATTCTTTAAATTCCTTAAATTCCTAAATTAAATTAAATTGGTTCTGGGCCGTAATTTAAAATTTATAAATTCCTTAAATTCCTTAAATTCCTAAATTAGGGCTAATTTAGGAATTTAAGGAATTTAAAGAATTTAAAGAGGCCTAAATTCTTTAAATTCCTTAAATTCCTAAATTAGCCCTAATTTAGGAATTTAAGGAATTTAAGGAATTTAAGGAATTTAATAAATTTTAAATTAGGACCCAGAACCAATTTAATTTAATTTAGGAATTTAAGGAATTTAAAGAATTTAAAGAGGCCTAAATTCTTTAAATTCCTTAAATTCCTAAATTAACCCTAATTTAGGAATTTAAGGAATTTAAAGAATTTGGGCCTCTTTAAATTCTTTAAATTCCTTAAATTCCTAAATTAAATTAAATTGGTTCTGGGCCGTAATTTAAAACTTTATAAATTCCTTAAATTCCTTAAATTCCTTAAATTCCTAAATTAGGGCTAATTTAGGAATTTAAGGAATTTAAAGAATTTAAAGAGGCCTAAATTCTTTAAATTCCTTAAACTCCTAAATTAGCCATAATTTAGGAATTTAAGGAATTTAAGGAATTTAAGGAATTTAAAAAATTTTAAATTAGGGCCCAGAACCAATTTAATTTAATTTAGGAATTTAAGGAATTTAAAGAATTTAAAGAGGCCTAAATTCTTTAAATTCCTTAAATTCCTAAATTAACCCTAATTTAGGAATTTAAGGAATTTAAAGAATTTAAAGAGGCCGAAATTCTTTAAATTCCTTAAATTCCTAAATTAAATTAAATTGGTTCTGGGCCGTAATTTAAAATTTTATAAATTCCTTAAATTCCTTAAATTCCTAAATTAGGGCTAATTTAGGAATTTAAGGAATTTAAAGAATTTAAAGAGGTTCTGGGCCGTAATTTAAAATTTTATAAATTCCTTAAATTCCTTAAATTCCTTAAATTCCTAAATTAGGGCTAATTTAGGAATTTCAGGAATTTAAAGAATTTAAAGAGGCCTAAATTCTTTAAATTCCTTAAATTCCTAAATTAGCCCTAATTTAGGAATTTAAGGAATTTAAGGAATTTAAGGAATTTAAGGAATTTAAAAAAATTTTTTAGGGCCCAGAACCAATTTAATTTAATTTAGGAATTTAAGGAATTTAAAGAATTTAAAGAGGCCTAAATTCTTTAAATTCCTTAAATTCCTAAATTAGCCCTAATTTAGGAATTTAAGGAATTTAAGGAATTTAAGGAATTTAAAAAATTTTAAATTAGGGCCCAGAACCAATTTAATTTAATTTAGGAATTTAAGGAATTTAAAGAATTAGAAGAGGCCTAAATTGTTTAAATTCCTTAAATTCAGCCCTAATTTAGGAACTTAAGGAATTTAAGGAATTTAAAAAATTTTAAATTAGGGCCCAGAACCAATTTAATTTAATTTAGAATTTAAGGAATTTAAAGAATTTAAAGAGGCCTAAATTCTTTAAATTCCTTAAATTCCT